TGACAAAGCTTATGCATGAGCTGCACATACCGTGGAAAACTTTTCGGTCTCATGGCGAATAAAAGTTTGGCGCGAATGTCCTTTGAGCGCGCGAGGCACTCGACCCTCTTCCTCCCACCTCCTTCTTTTCCTTCTATTCTTTCAATATTCGACTTCTGTGCGCCGTGTAGCAGGAAAAAGTTTATCTCAAGACTGCAAAATGTTGTGTCGCCGGCCAAAAACAACAACGCGCGTGGCTTTATTCGCGCCCACCGATATAAATGCGATTATAGATCCGAAAGTTCGCGCGCGCAAAAGTAAATCTATAAGTTTGAAAATTCAGTTTTTACAAATATTTTTACACGCTACAAAACTGAAACATTATCTTGAACGGATGAAGTGGGAAATGACAATTTTCCCTAAAGTTTTCGCGCACGTTCGAATTCACACTGCAAAGTAATTTTGTGAGTTCTAAACACGTGAAATGTAAAATTAAGTTTGCACTTCGGTACAGTTAAATTTGGCACAATGTAATGTTATTAATTAACTGACATGCAAGCGGTATTCGTCAAATAATTGTATGAATGGTATTTCATATCGTATTTTATGGGGTATACGCGAGGATCTATGGAGCTCCTATTGTTCATCTTCTACTATTAATGAAATTGGATATTTTTGCGAAATATTTATAATAACGACATTACTCGGTCGAGGTACGTCAATGAATTATTAAGCCGGGGGCTAGCTTCATTTATCCCCGCGTGCCTCCGAGTCTTTTTCTTGCTGTATGGCAGTGTCAAGTATATATCTCGCGGCAGCCTCGCGCGTCCCCCGGAACACATATACGTGATCGGAATCGAACGCAGCACACGTGGTGTTGCTCCTGCTGCTCGTTGAAGAAGACGAAGAGAGAGAGAGCTGAAAACGATGTGTGTGCACTTCGTCGATTTTCTTCGCGAAGAATACGTTTTCATATATCGAAATTTCTGCTCGCGGCGGACGTGACTTCAAAACCTATATATATGTGCATTATGTGCACGCGGGGGTGTATTTGAAAAAAAGGCCGCGCGTGCACACATCCATTTTCATTTATTCATTTTTATTTTGCTTTTTATATTTCGTTTTCGCACCGAGCTCGTCTGTATGAAATATGACAGCAATCTGAATAAATCTTGGGATAATTCAATGAACGCAACAAAATGATCATGATTCATTTTTGTACATGCCCATAGGATTTTATCGCGAATGAAGATATTACCGGATAGAAATATTTATATATACGCATTTATAAAGCCTACAGTTAGATAATCAAAATCGACTGCAGGAAAGCCGCATTAAAAAATGAAAATGAGCTCACACTTTCGTTTGTAACAAAGTAATCGTTTTGTGCGCGCAGTGGTGCAAAAAGTAGCCGCCGCTTCTTGAAAATGAGAAATGCACCCGCGGAAAATAATTTGTGCGCACGGAGCCGAGAGATAACAAACTCCTGTAGCCAACAAACAAACACGTGTGCCACGCTCTCACGAATTTGCGCGAAAAGAAGGAAAAAAAGGCCGAACGCGATGCGCTTACAGCGAATGACTGATAGATACAAGTACTGCGATATAATTTAAACTCGGAGAGATCAAGGATAATCTAGATGGACAAATATATTTTCTGAATTGATAAATGCACTGAGATATTTATTGACGACGATATTCACAAAAATTATTTCATCGGATTTTATCAACGTGATAATGAAAAAATGCATTTCAAGTCATTAAAAGTTCTTATAAATAAATATTTCAATATGAATATAAATAAATATCTCTATTTAAAAATACTTCAAAGAAAATAAAAACAAATCCATTTAGTGTTGGTTATCTAATTATTTCTCGTAAAAATGTGATATATTTCATTGCTGCAGATCGGAACGAGCAGCGTCTCGAAATTGAGCGTACTACGAAGCTTCGGAATTCATCGCATTCGCAGCGAGGAATATAATACTTCAAAGGATACTTAGTGGTTTCTGGCAAATACCCTGTAATTTACGTATATTATATAAAAGAAAATTCCCCCGATCGTTACATGAAAACTTATCAGCTGCGCGAGTGGCAATAATTCGTTACCTAGGCTCATTGCGTTATATTGAGGTTTCCTTACGGTTATCAGTCGCTAATAAGATATAGACGCGGAACCGAATCGGCTACTGTCCCCATAACTCCGACCAACGTAAGCTTCATTTACCGTCACTTCGATGTACGAATTAACAACCAAAAAATAAAAATCAAAGAAAAGTCTCATCGGTTCTAATAAAATTGAGACGGGAGCACGTGAAAGTAAAGCAAACACAGCACAGGCAGCATCGGGTAAAACATGGTAATTATGCAGCTCGTGGCAGGATGATGTGAACTTTCAGGCAAGACGCATATAATATATATGAGCATATATATAGTAGCCAATCTAGCTGCTTAATCTGCGCATTACACGCACATCGCGCGGCTCACACATCCTTTCTCGTATTATACGTGTGTGTGTGCAGTTCTCGCGGGATCTCTGCATAGATGAGCTGAGCTCGTACAGCACACAGCTGGCTGTATTATAGTACGTATCATCGAAAATTCAATCAGACCGCGAAGGATGAATCACGCACGAATCTGCGCTCGCCGTATATACCAGCGGTATACAGCTACTACGCGGTTTCTTTCTCTTTTCTCTCGCTCCGCACGTTGCAACGCTTTAATTTATTACGTTACATATATATATTGTATCACGTTGATGCACCTGTAAAACATATCGCTCTCTGCTGTGGTCCAGACGTGGATGTATGTGTCTCGCAATGTATGCCAACATTTCCCTCTTCTGACGTGTTCGTGTCGGGTCTATACGAGATCCGTGAATTCAAGGATAAAAAATGCAACCAAAATCGAATTATACAATACAATTATCGAATCAAGTATCATTATCTACGGTAGTAAGCGTGGTATCTTATACTATAGTCGTCACCCTAAAGAATCAGTTTATTCTTATGGAGAGACAATGTTTTTATCACGTCGTGATTCTGTGACAATCATCATCAGCCTGCACCCTTGAAATAATCTTTAGAAGGACGATTGTGACGTAACTTACTGCATTTACTATCGTGTATAATGTGATTTATATCATATTCCGAACCCTTAATAAAAATAAAAAGCAGAGTTCAAGTGCACTGCTTCTTGACTCGAATTGGACTTAACAGGAACTTTTAGTGAACTTTTCAGTGAACAAAATACAGCATTTCAATAAGATTTATCGTAATCAAAGGTGTCATCAACATATTTGACTATGAACTTTCCGATTCAGTCAATAGGTGGAGTATTACATACTAGCAAGTAGCAAAAACATTTTCAGATTAACATATAAGCAAACAATTTTCAAAGATATTATGTTCATATATTCTAGCAACTTCGAGTAATCACGTTTATTATAGTATAGACAGAGTGAAAAGGCGTATGTGTCCGATTGGAATATAGAGGCTCGAAATTTTTATACCTAAAGGCGCTGTAAATACTCTTACGTTTTTTGTATCGTACAGGGCAGTATACAAACGAAAAGTTACGAGGGCAGAAGTGCGCGCGCTCGGTAGTTTTACCACTCGTTTGCGGTGCTGCCCAGGCAAGTTGGGAAAACAATAGTTACGATGGCAGTCCTGGCTGGATGTTTTTGTTGCTCCTTCTTGTTAAGTCGCGTACACACGCGTCTATAAGGTTCATATGTATATACGGAGGCGAGAAAAGCCAATAAGGACAAAACAATGTGCGTTGCCCATAGTATGCGTGGATTAAGGAATAATGCGCTTGTTTGAATACGTACACTTTGTTTCAGGACGACGGAGGATTTGCGCGCTACATCGAGGCTGCGCAGCATTGTGTTTGTCCATCTGTGTGTGCGTGCTGTGCTGCAGCTGCCTTCTCGTATGCTATGCTTACAACGGAGCCAATGCATGTGTGGCTTTCAGTGTGTGTGTGTGTGTGTGTGTGTGAGTCCTCGCGGGGATTCCGCTATTTTGTGTGCTTAAAATAAAGGGACTTTGCGGTACATAAACGCGCGCGTGCAGTGCCCAACGACACGTGCAAACTTTTTAATGTCGCAGCCACGCTGGAAATATATACCCAGCTTACACGAAAAGACTTTCTTCCTTGGACAAAACGTTATTGCCGAAACTTCATTTATTCGATTAAAATTCACGCAATCTTAAAATAGCTAATTCGTATTTTTGAATTTCAAAGGACACTCCTCGTCAGCTGAGCTAATCAAATTAATTATAACGATAGTCGAGATCGATGCATATCGTACGGTTCGATGCTTATTGACCGATTGCTAAATTTGGGCTGCTCGAAAGGTCACTGAGCTGCGGAGCTGTTAGATAATATTTCACGTCGATAGCCGGGGTTGACGACATTTATTTATAAATGCGACGTAAGCTCACTTGTCGATATAATGAATTTCATCGAGCTCATTGTCCTACGAATTTCCGATCGATTCGGCGAAAGAAATTCATTGTAGGTATACTTGAGCTTCTAAAGAAGCCAATATTTAGAGTTATCAGATTTGGTAAACAACATTATCTACAGACGTCCGAAGATATCGGCGCGATCAAACGTGAGAACATAACGAGCATCCACCTAGTAGTAATTCAAATAATTTTAGATATTTTTGGTGACAATTTTTCCCTTGATACGCGAATTTTGACTCTTTAAAATAAAAAGATCAATTATGGGAAAGTAAATTTTTATACAATTTTTAAAAATTTTAAAAATGATAATATGGCGCCAAATAATAGTGCGCTTGTGGTGTGCTCATCAAATTACTAATTTGCAGCACGTCTTTCATTTTGCCTGCGACGACAAAAACTGGAAAATTCATTCTCTTGCTCATAAATGTAGAGCAATTCAATCGAACGTCACAAAACCTGTCGTATTGACATTTTCATTATAAACGTAAGTTGTGCGTGTAGTGCACTGCGTCTGCCTGACTGCCTGCTACCTGCCAGGCGCACCGCGCACGGCAGACGTTTTTACTGCACGAGTCCACGCGTGTTTCTCCACAGACTTCAATATTGTCTTTGAAGCGATTTGTGACTGTTTATTTAGCCAAGAGACAGTTCGTTATTTTGCAAATCGAAGGTTAGCCATTGTTGTGCCATCGGTGTCAGTGCTAAAGTTCAGACTTTTTGGATTCGCGAGCGCACAGTGACAGTGTAAATACGGTTGACATTTGTGGCTGATCGAAGGACGCGTGCTTTTAGGTTATAAAAGTTAGAAATTGCACAAGTCTCTCGCTCGCTTTGCTGATCCGACAAATCTTATCTCTCGTAATTACCGATTCAGGCTTTTTTTTTGTACTATCGTTACGTGCGATTACGTAAAATTTTCACGGGCATGATAAACTCCTGTCTTTCAGGTGCGAATCATTGACTGGCTGCTGGCCTGTTGACTGGACTTGGCACGTTGAAATGGCATCCTGGGACGGATCCTACGATCCAGACAACGTAGATTATTATGTTGAACCTAGCATCAATGTTCCTCCGGACCAATGGAACGGATTTCTTGGCAATCGATTTGCACAGAACGCTGTCCCTTACCCTATGAATTATTATGGCTATGAACAGAATGCACAATATTATAATCTAGTGGATGACAATGATTTTTCACGATCAATAGCAAACATGCCTATTAACAATGGTATTTACACCAATAATGGATTTCCTCCTATTGATGATGTGAGTTAATTGCATAGTATTTGTAATAATGAATAATTAAAAAAAATTTTTAATTTTACAATTTTCCTTCAATTAAATGTTCATTGTTACATTTATTTAATGATATTTAATGATAATTCTGATACAATTTATAAAAAAATTTTACTCAGGTTCACGCAATGCCCACTGAACCAACTATGTCAACAATCGGTTATTTTCATGGACTTGGCCCTCCACCACCAGAAGTTCAGCCACAAACTTACAGTCAAAATAATGTATATTTTCAAAATAATAAGCATGAAGATAAAAACAATAAGACTGAATCCTTAAACTTTGGAAATAGTGATTCTCAAGCTTCAGAAGTTCAGTCACAAAATCATAGCCAAAATAAAACATTTTTTCAGAATAGTAAGCACAAAAACAACAAGAATCAAAAGACTGAAACAAAAAAAGATTCAAATGTTGGAACAAATACTGATGAGCTTCCAATTAATCAAAAACATGATCATACAAATTCCAATAATTATGGAAGAAATAAGAGTGATTATCAAAACAAAAATATTGGTAAATCAAATGTTTTTTTTGAAAATAACATGCCAAAATATAATGAAAGAAGATTTGAATACAGGGATAACAGAAGAAAGCAGAATACCGATCATTTCAAAGATAACAATAAGAAAGAAAATGAAAAACCTGTTTATAGCAAACGAGAAAAGTCAAAAAAGTATTCTCGTAACAATAAACTGTTTACGAATGATGTAGAAAATTCAGCTTGTGCAATTGAGGAAGACAAAAAACATTCAAGTACAAACATGAATGATCTTGAAACTAATATGTCTTTTTCCAAACCAGAACAAGTATTACTTGGCCTTGACAAAACAGAGAGAGTTTTCGAAAATTCGAGTAATGATAAAGAACAGAAATATAACAAAAGGAGGGATACAAGGGATCCCAGAGATCCAAGAGATTCTAGAGATCCTAGAGATCCAAGAGATTCTAGAAATTCTAAAGATCCAAGAGATTCTAGAAATCCTAGAGATCCAAGAGATTCTAGAAATCCTAGAGATCCAAGAGATTTTAGAGATTCTAGAAATTCTAGAGATCCAAGACATTTCAAAGATTCTAGAGATTCATGGAATCACAGAGACACTAGGGATCCAAAGGATTATAAGGATACTAGAGACCCAAGGGAGTATAGAGATACTAGAGATCCAAGGGATTATAGAGACCCTTTAGATTCAAAAGATCCTAGGGAATCCAGAGATGTTAGGGATTCAACAGATCCCAGGGAATCAAGAGAAGGAGCTTACCGCTTTGGAAGAAACAAGAGATTTGAAAGACGGGAAAATAACAATAAAAGTTCCACTGATTGGAGACAAAAACCTAGCATGAATAATAAAGTATCTCTTCTGCAACAGAAAGCTAAGGAAATTGATTATGGTAAATTTATATTCTTTTAATACAATAATTTAATGATGTAGGGTACTTTTAGCATGATAATCTGTATATCATTTTAGAATTATAATTAACTAATAATTTGGATTAAATAATACTCATAATTTTTTTGTTTTATTAGATGTGAGCCAAAGAGAAAGATTGACAGAGCAACTTAACCGAGGAAATTTAGAGTGTTTGGTTTGTTGTGATTCAATTAGACAAACTGATTATGTTTGGTCATGTTATAACTGCTATCATGTGCTTCATTTAAAATGTGTTCAAAAATGGGCTAAGTCATCTCAAGATGGTAAAGAAAAGATTTTATTTATGTTTTTCCTAGATTCAAAAAAATAATTATTATATTATTATAGATAGTGGATGGCGATGCCCTGCCTGCCAAAATGTTACTACATCTGTTCCTTCTGAATATAGATGTTTTTGTGGCAAAGAAAAGAACCCAGATTGGAATCGTCGAGATGTAGCACATTCTTGTGGTGAAATGTGCAGTCGTTCAAATGGTTGTGTTCATAAGTGCACACTTTTATGCCATCCAGGATCTTGTCCACCTTGCACAGTCAGAGTCTCAAAATTATGTGGTTGCGAACGCACAACTCAGACACAAATTTGTAGTACAGCATTGCTTGTACAATGTAGTGAAACATGCGATAAAGTTCTTAATTGCATGGTGCACAAATGTGAAAAACAATGTCACCATGGAAGTTGTGATGAATGTAAAAAACATATTGACCAAGGTACATTAATACTATTAGTAGTGCATTGTTGTTTTTTAATTTCATTATGTATTTTTCCACCCAATGAATAATTAAATTACATAAATTATCATTTGACAGAGTGCTTCTGTGGAAAAAATAACCGTACCCAAGTATGCATTCCAAATCTTTCTTCAAATTATTCATGCGGGGACATTTGCAGTAAACTTTTGGATTGTGGCAATCACAAATGCAGTAACATTTGTCATTCGGGAAGTTGTGAACCTTGCAAATTAAAACCTGAATCAGTGACTCATTGCTGCTGTGGACAAACTCCTATAAGCACTGAAAGAAAAAGTTGTCTAGATCCGGTCCCCACATGTGATAAAGTTTGCTGCCGAATTTTCAAATGTGGCACACCTTGTTAGTAACTCAATAAACTCGTTGATTTTGTAATTAGCTTGACCTTGCTATATTAACAAATTTTTCTTTCAATTTCAGCAAATCCACATTTCTGTCCTGAAAACTGCCATACAGGCGATTGTCCTAAATGTAAATTAAGTACAACATGCAAATGTCGCTGTGGCTTTATGGATAAAGATATTCCCTGTGAAGAACTCAGTGCTAGATCTGGGGATGTTCGTTGCAACAAAAAGTGTACCAAAAAGCGCTCATGTGGAAAACACAAATGTAATCAGATGTGTTGTATCGATATCGATCACATATGTCCTTTACCTTGCTCTAAAACGTTAAGTTGTGGAAAACATAAATGTGAACAAACTTGTCACAAAGGTTGATATATTGAATTTAAAAGTATCTAAAGTACTACGGAGTAATTGTAACCAAATTGTTTATTTAATTCAGGGTTTTGTCAGCCATGCTGGAGATCGAGTTTCACCGAGCTGTACTGCGAGTGTGGCAAGGCTGTAATATTCCCGCCGGTACCTTGTGGAACTCGTCGGCCTGCTTGCAAAGAGCCATGTTCCAGGACGCACGATTGCGATCACCAAGTTCTGCACCCGTGCAATAGCGATTCGGTATGTCCTCCGTGCTCGGTTCTCACCCAGAAGTGGTGTCATGGCAAACACGAATTGCGCAAGGCGGTACCCTGCCACGTCAAGGAATTATCTTGTGGTCTACCTTGTGGAAAGCCCATTCCTTGCAATCGACATAAATGCATACAAAAATGTCATTCAGGTCCTTGTGCTACAGAATGCACACAACCTTGTCAGGAGATAAGAAAAATGTGCGGGCACATTTGCGCAGCTCCTTGCCACGAAGGTGATTGTCCTGATACACCGTGCAAAGTGATGGTTAAGGTACGAATCAGTATTTTTTACTGCTGTTATGAATTAAATTTTAATTTACTTCAATAATTTATTGTACTGTATTTTAGGTCACTTGCCAATGTGGTCACCGTACGATGACTCGACAATGCGCTGAAAATTCTCGTGATTATCAACGAATTGCCAGCGGTATGCTAGCTAGTAAAATGGCTGATGTTCAATTGGGTCACTCAATAGATCTAGAAGAAGTTTTTGGTCAGGGGTCAAAAAAACAAAATCAATTGAAAACTCTCGAATGTAATGACGAATGCAAAGTTATCGAGCGTAATAGACGCTTGACACTAGGCTTACAAATTGTTAATCCGGACTTGAGTGGCAAACTTATGCCAAAATACAGCGACTACATGAAACAATGGGCCAAAAAAGATGCAGCTTTTTGTAATATGGTTCACGATAAGCTTACCGAGCTCGTCCAGCTGGCTAAATCTTCGAAACAAAAATCGCGCAGCTACTCATTCGAAGTTATGAATCGCGATAAAAGACAGTTTGTTCACGAAATGTGTGACCATTTTGGATGTGAAAGTCAGGCTTATGACCAAGAACCCAAAAGAAACGTAGTTGCTACAGCCGTTAAAGAGAAGGTAACATTCGTTTGAACTATTATTACACAAAAAGTCACTAATGTATTAAAAAACGATCTATCAATTTTTCGATTTTTCAGTGTTGGTTACCCAGTTACAGCCTGGTAGAATTAGTGAGAAGAGAAAACGGACAACGAAAAGTACCAGGACCTATGTTGAATAAGTTATTGGCTTCAGAAAGGTATGTAGAAAATCAAATCCATAAAGTTTGTTTCATACTAATCTAGTGCATTCTTTTAGGAGTATGGGCTCTTTACAGCTGAATACTAAAAGTCTCAGAACCTCTGCACCCACAACTCCAATTTCGCCGTCGAGGTCTCCAGAACCCGAAATAGATTATTTTAATTACAAGGGTTGATTGATAATTTCTCCACCTACTTCAATTTTGTTGTACATTTTGATTGAAATTTTTAGATTTCTGCCATGAAAAATTATAAGTAGCTTGTAATTAAATGGTTGTTTGTTTTTATTATATTTGGGTATTTAAAGATTAAATTATGATTATGGATCTTGTAAAAATTCAGCTATTAGCGACAATTGTTTCAATTATGTTTGAAAGTTGGTCAACGATCGGCTTCATATAATTGCTCAAAATATTTATATTACCGTTCATGCATCTAATTTTAACAAAATTTTAGTTTTTCGATTGTTTTACAAAATATTTAATTTTATTTTCAATAAAGGGAGGCAAATTTCAATTTTGCCATAATAAATATAAGTGGTGTCATTTTCCAGAAAAATAAAAAAAATTAAATAGGTTTCAATACTTTTTATTAATTTTTATACACTGTGGGTTCACATATGAACGATCTAGGTTCATTTGTACATTGAGTTTAGTTTTCCTTTTTTTCTAACAAGATGATACTTCATGAAAATAAGAAAGTCTTGCACTCAGTTCCATTGTCATTTTCAAACTGCGTATTGTAAAATATTGCTACGTTTGAGGTCTTGAATTTATTATTTATTGACATACATTTCTAAACGACGCATGTTACAGTATGATTCGACATGATTGGTTATGCTAAACTTAATATAGAAATTGAGTGCGAGAAATTTTTGTATAACATTATGCATGTCCATTGGCAGAAGAACTTTCAATTCATCATATTATCATAAAAATTATTATCTTTATTAAAGTAATGTTCCACCGCACAAAAAGTACCATCTTCTACAATCAAATTACGTTACACTTTGTAATTTTTCATGGGTAACTTCAACATCAACTTACGGGATAATGCAAGATCTGAAGAGTGAAAACTGTTTTTTTAACAATAGAATTTTAATATAATTAATTTACACATATCTTTGTTTTTTTTATGTATCTGTAAAGTCTAAACTTTAACAACAGGGGATGGTTAGTTAACATCAAGTGATACTATAATTTATGATAAATATGAAATTCATCAATTGTCGGGTGTATTTCAAAATTTGGAAATATTCATCTTAATCGTGGTGTGATAGACACATTTTGTTACCATGCAAAGAGTTACAGATTAGAGTGAATTTTGTGATTTGATAAATTTTCCTCTCAAACTAATAATTTCAACATTGTTAATAACATTAAAGTAAGTAGCTATAATTATACAGTACCGATACTCAATCATTCACCACTCAACATTTACCTGATATTTCAGATACATTTTTTGATACTTGGTAGCTTTAGAAAAATAATTTTCTTTTCAAATCGTCCTCACAATATTTCAAGTAAGCTACAGTCATTTATTAAGAAACTATGTTTCACAATGCTTACAGTCAATAAACATCATTTGATAAACTTCAATCATTAATTTCCTTATATTTTTTCTACCGTCGTTAATAGAACTTATCAAAAAGCTAAAAGCAATAAGCACATATTCATGACAGACACAAAATCATTTTCAGCGAAGAAAATCGATGCTAATACATATTATGCAGCTCGAAGAATTTACAATAGAATAGTTAATCATGCTACAACATTTAACATTTATCACATTTAGAATCACAACACTGTTACAGGTTTGATTTTTTTTTTAAATAAACCATTTAGACATGAATTTTAAGGACACACATAAGTTTTAGTATTCATTGGGCACTTTTAAAAGATACGGATTCTTCAATGAGTTTATATATACGGATATATGTTAATTTTTCAATATGGTAAAAGTCATCTCGAAATATGAACATTCATTTTATATAGTTGTACTGAAGATGCATTCACGTTTAATAGTATAACATTATTTCCTTCTTATGCGTCTTATTTTGTAATATTTTCTCAGCAAAATAGCAATATGCTAGAGATATTTTGTGTATCAATATTTTATAATATGCATTGTCGATATTACACTTACACTTGATAAAATTCAATGAGATTTCAGAAAATAGATATGATTTGTTTGTTGCGAGCTCTCCGACTATAATAATTTCGCGAATGTCGTTGCGTACTACTTTTTAATCCCCTCCGTTTTCGGGGACTAAGCTCTACGATTGATTTACTATATATACACAGTCATTTTATTGTCGCGACCATTTTCAATATCGTATAATATAGAAAAAAAGAGAGTAAAAGAGCTGTACGAAGCCGCGACGCACTGAAGGGCATTGAAAATTCGATTGAAAAACATTTGGTAGTTGTTACACGCGCCTACTACCAGTTGTATACGATAATTTTTTTTCTTTAAATACATCTGATAAAAAGTACTACGTTTGTTACCGAATGATATTTTCAGTGGATCAAAGTTAGTTTCATAAGATATTACGGAAGCCGGAGTAAAAATGAAAACTTTCAAAAACATTTTCTGAGATTCCTATAGAATATTTTTCTAAAAAGTTACCTGGATATACTTTTCTTTCGTTATTCTTTAGACTTGCGCCAAACATTTGTAGTTAAAATCTCAGAAAACTCGTAAGAAACTTTTATTTTACACAGACTTCGCTATCCCCTCTATTTCAATGGTCATGTATATCGATATACTTAATCGTTCCAAAGCTACCGCGCCGAAAATCAAAAATTTATGCACACTTAAATTGTAGTGTAAATTTATGCACTTCATTTGAACACAGTTTTAAATTTTAGAATGTTACATTCGCCTATATACTGTATTGCTCAGTAATTTCTCTGTACCGAAAATCATTCAATCGTTAAATTGTATGAACTATAGTATTACAAAATACTTAAATGACTCGCTATTGTTGATTGTGAAAAATTATTGTTACTCAGACGTTTTATTTTTATAACAGAAATAAATATGTACTCTACGCAGTTTATTGTATAAAAAAGAAAAAAAATGTCAACTCTTTCCCTTATCAATGAGATCATTAGTGAAATGATTGAACTCTATAGGTACGATTAGAGTCAGAAAGTTTAGCTGAGACATTTTGTACTATTACCTCGAGGATTGCGTCAACGAGGCGCATTTCAGAGGATTTTCTTTTATAGTTAAGCGCGTTTTACAACGCGCACGATTTACCACCTTATAGAGCAGTACATCCATTATACATTTAGATATTATCTTTTCAAGATAGAAATATTAACAACAATGATCATAAAAATAACAATAATAATTACAATGACGATGTAATAATGTAAAGAGGGTAGTAAAAATACGACTCAAACTTGCTTTCTCTCTTTCTCTCTATCTCACATTTCTTGCACAATAGTAGTTGGCTCACGCGCGCACACAAGTATGAATATCTATACATGAATTTATACTATTATACGTAATAGGTAATAATTGTGTTGAGCGCGAAGATTATGTTGGCATTCTCAGTCTTATCGATGAAACTGAGTCTACAATGGAAAATGATGCATCGATATACTCAATTAGAGCAATGAATTATGTATAGCGCAGACGCCGATGGGCCGATAACATCGATGATAAATACCGTTCATATATAAGAATCCGTCGGTAGGAAGCAGATGGGTTTACACGAGGAATTGGGTTGAACCGAGAGAATTTCGCTGGGTATAAGGGGTCGAGCTCGAGTCGCGACGTTGACTCTCTGCAAAAGGGACGGGGCATGCGGAGCTTGCGGCGAGGCCGAAGTTATTACAGTGAATATCCTTTCGCGCAAAGATTCGCTCTCTCTTTCGCTCGCTCGAAACGTCTCGAGTTCAATTTCATTTTGTTCAGTATTGCTTATATATTATTATTATATTTAGATGTAGAGGTTGTCACGCTGCTTCATTCGCAAATTGTAATTGGGATAGTTGCCGAGGTAGCCGTGACGGGGACTGGCCGACGGCTGCTTCGTGATGCTCGCCATGGCACAGCCCATTATCAGCTCGGTCAGGCGGCAGACCGTCTGGTAGATGATCCAGGGCCAGGGCCTGGGCAGCTGACTCGGAGCCGGCTTCGAGTCCTGCGTCGCCACGTCCGCCCACAGACCTACGGAATTTTGTTCATTTTCGCGTCGAGATCAGTATACGAGTGTGTTTACTAGCGGGATTATAGACGCGAGATATACTCACCGTAGGGGCCAAAAATCCGGGCAATATCGGCGAGACAGAGGATGATGCCGAGTATTGCCGTGGTGTAGGTGACGTTTAAAACCCTCTTGATTTGCGCCCTGCGCGCCGCCGCCGTCGAGGCTTCCGATATGTGCAAAGGCATGCCTGATTTGGTCCGATTCACGTACGCTATGTGATTGAGGATCGAGTGAAGCGTGAAATCTCCACCCTAAGATGAGAAAGTACACAATTTTTCATAAATTCATGTCCTTGAATGATTATGGTTTTTTTAGTAATAATATAATTACAAGCTATGTATTGAAATTTTCAATTTAAAAAAAAAGCTTTTTTATTATACTACTATGGAAAAAATACGTTTCAAGCCACCCTGTATCCTTTTTTTTTCATTTTTTCCTGACCTCAATATTCATTCTGTTAAGTAATTTTACAACCTTACACGGATAGTAAAACGCTCTTCCGGTTTAGCCATGCGGCGAACAAACGCGCTCGAGCTCGAAGCGAAAACTCCCTTTTTTCCGAATCGACATCAGGTGTGTATATAAAAAAAAATAGATGTAAAATCCTGCTCTACGAGTCAATGTAAATCCAATCGAGCTTTTGTACTCACTTTTTTTTATCATACGCGATATGCTGTATAGATATATATGAAAGTAATCAATTTTATTCCATAGATATCTCGTCTGTTAAAAAAGAAGTAAATTATATTGAGAAAAGAAGATTGCATCATGTCTCCTATATAGGTATATACATTGTCTTAATCACAACGTGAATTCCGACGTTGAAGTGACTCGGCCTCTATATATAAAGCGCGCGCGCGAGTTCTTATTATCAATTGACATTTAGACGTTTTCTATTTCATTAGCTGCGCTACAAACCGTGGCACCACTACGGCACTTAATATAAAGATTATATATATACACGAGTATAACTATATACCTCGGGCGCGAAGTGAATTCTCCAAGAGACAGTATTAGATTTCAGTTGGCGAGCACAGCTGATGCTTTCTTAGGACTTGAAATTACTCCGAGGGAAAATTGCCCGAGAGACGTTTGTTGCGCGACTATGAATTTTTTATGCCCGCAGCTCCACTCTGGGGGATATTATGTATCTGTACATCGTTTGACTGGTCTCACGGTCGCGTTTTAATTTCGCAGTTCACGCGCATGACAATTAACGGGAGAGCAAAACGAAAATTGATGCGCCGTGCGAACGCGCGAGAATATTAATAATAAAGTACGCGTGCTTATTTACTGCTGCACTTACCGATGAGCCGAGTCCGGCCTTCTGCTGCACGTCTGTGAGCAAGCTCGTTTCCGCGGTAATGACCTCCTGCTCCTCTTTCAGCTTGTCGCATTTCCAGGACAGATTCTTCTTGCGGCTCTTGTTGTTGCTGTTGGATTCGTCGCTGCCACCGCCACCGCCGCCGCCCTGGTCGTTGACCAGTGCCACTTTTTCGCCGCTGTCGCAGCCCCCCAGGTCGGCCTCGGTCTGCTCGTTGTCCGACTCGATTTGCTGCATTTGGCGCATGGAAAAGTCGCTGGCCCGCCGCGACGAGGGCCGCGTGGAGATCTGGCCGATGTCCGACGCCCGGCGTTCGCTGCTGCGATACGACACGTCCGAGTTGCGACGCGACTCCACGGCTCGCGGCGCCGGCAGACCGTTGAGGTCCGAATTTCTTCTCGAGCCTGTTAAAAGCAATAATTGCCCAGAGACTGATTGACTTTTCGATCGAGAGATGCGAGAAATTACAAGGGAAATTGCATTCGACACTCACTACCTGGACTGACGTCCAAAATTCTGGAGAGCTTCGATTGGTCCTGATCTTGGACGCGTTTTGGAACTCGATTGCCGAAGTCGCTGTTGCGCCTGAGCTTGGTGGCGAATTGCGGTCGACACTTTTCCCCGCCGTGAGAGACGTCCGAGCCACGGCGAGCGTCTCGGCTGCTATAGCCACCGGCGGAAATGCTGCTGCAGTCGGAATTTCGACGGAGGATGCCCTCGACTGGTTTGTCCAGTGACGGCGAGACCGATGCGTCTTTTTCTTCTACGGTCAAAGTCGTAATAATGATTTCGAAATCGAATATTAAATTCGAGGGATAAGTTTATATACCTTCTATTTCGTCCTCCTCGCTGACGAACCTGACGCTACACTCGGAGGCGCGCCGGGAGGTTCTCGCCGAGACGTCGCTGCCCCTGCGGCTGACCAAGGAACTCCTCCGACTGGGACTGGACACGGTGATGATGGGCAGGTTGGCGATCGACGGCGTCGGGGTGGGCGGGCGCACGTAGACCTCCGGCACCGTCGACGAGCTCGACGACTGCTGCTGATGCTGATGGTAGTGCTGCTGCAGGTCGCGCTGACGATCGTCGCCGGGCGACGTCGACAGTATCTTGCTGATGCGCTCGTGCTCCATTTGGATGCGAGCCGCCGACTTGTAAGAGCCGCCGGCGCCTCCGCTGCCACCGCCGCTGCCTCGCTGGGCTACGATATACGATACTAGGATCATATGCCCCCACGGATTAATCAGCAAGTTGTTTCGGTTTAGCGCAAAGTTCGACACTCAGGAAGTTTATTGTACAATTGGCTTCGGTGCGCTGGAGGGTGTGATTTTTTATTTTTGTCGGTTTTCTTTTTCTGGGGGAGCTCTGCTTAGATATTGTGGAAATCGGTATTCTGGCCCAAAAAGCTCAATCGATTCACTGGCATTATTTACACTGTTTACGAAAACCATATACTACAGGAAAATATAGCCAACTGGAGCGCCAAATGAGAATGATTAGTAAAAGTGAAATTGTGTTTGTTTTAGCTTTTCAACTCGTATTTTAGAGAGGAAAAAAAACGGGCAAGGATTAAGTGAGAATTTCCATCAGAGCGCGAGTAATTCGATCAGTTTCAACAAACAATTAAAAAGTTTCGCTCGATTCATTTTGGTTCAGTCGCCCGCGCGCGCCTAGTGCCGTTGTAGTCGCAGTATAGCTGCTCTCTGCGTCTCTGCTGATGTAAAAGCCCATATATATAGCAAATCTAGTCTAGCTGTGTGTGCAGTATACACACCTACATGCATACAGGACTGGCAACGGTAGAATTCGTTTTATTAAAACTTGCTTTTGCCCATCAGCAAACGTTTTGTCCAAGTTTAAAAAGCTCCCGCACAGCGTAAAACCGAATGACGATGACGCGCGCGTGGTCTGGCGCGTTTACCTCGGCCGAACAAGCAAAAATTATCACCTTTGTTATATGGATATATGTAAAATGAATTCATTTTAGAAGCCCACTGGTTCGGTCGACAAACACCTCGTCCTCTCTCGCTTTCACTACTCGTCCAAGTTTCAAAAGAAATCAGGTCAACATTAAAATCAAAGAGGAATAATAAAAGTTGAGCTGCGCCTTTATAAACTCGCACGCGGATTTATATGGTATATATTTGGTGGTATTCATCCCGAGAATGCACTACAAAAATATTTTCCGGTGAATGAATTCGAGCGTGAATATACGATAGCTCGCGATATATATCCTATATTATGCTATATTATATGCATAATAAATGTTCGGGTGGAGAAAACAGACGGAAAGTCAAATATCGACCGAAACATATTTTAATTTTATGCTTTCGAAACAAAACGATCTACGTTTTTTCATAAACTTGATCATTTTTTTGTGCTATTATGAAAATAAAAGGCCTTTTAAAAGGTAGTGAAGTGTTGCTCAGACAAAGGCTCGTATGTAATGTAAAATGCGCGTAGTGTTAACGAATTCGGTGCATCGATGCACAAAAACAAAAGTGAGAAAACGGGTTCTGTAAACGTCAAGACCGGGTTTTAAAAGGGGTGCGAGAAATTGTGTAAAAAGTTTAATATAATCTAGATTTATGCGGGGAACTAGCAATGCCGCTACTTACTGGAAGTCAAGCTAGGATTATTAGCATCGGGCCCGGTGCGACTGGTCGTGGCGGCGGTGGTGGTCGTCGTCGTCGTCGCCGCAGCCGCAGTCGCAGCCGGAGCTGCTGCCTCGGACTCGAGGGCGGCGCGCATTTTCGCGGGTCCGAGCAGGGTGGGCACTAGGGCGGCCGCCACCGAGGTGGCCAAATTATTGTAAGGCGCTAGCATGGCAAGCTGCATTATGCCTGCAATAAAAGCGGGAACAAACGATGGTAATAAATATAAAAAGTCGTTTACCTTGGGACGGCGGCGGCGGCTCGTCGTCGTCGCTCGATACGACGACGTAGCAGCTCGTCGTCGTCGTCGTAGTGGTGGTGGTTCTCCTTATGCGCCTCACCCGTATACAAACCAACTGACCTTTCTGATTGGAGCCGAGGGTGTCGCGCGCCAGCAGATTCGAGGGCAGGGTCTTGAGCAGCGACTTGACCTTGTAGCCGGCGTAGAGGAAGCTCAAGTACAGGATCAAGCCCCAGACGAGGAAGACCGCTTGGACCATGTATTTGCCGACGTAGCTCATGTTGAGGGCCAAGGTCACGTCGCTTATTATCACGCACGAGAAGTGAAAGATTATCACCAGGCTCAGGTACGTTTCCCTTTGAAAGAGCTCGAGGCCGAATTTCAACTGCAAGCATATACAATAATAGCGTGGCAGCAGCAGCAGCGGGGCCAGCACAAAAAGTCAGTCGGATCAGCGAGTCCGGATGCACTCGACTACCGCGCCAATTCTCGGCTTATTCTCCTGTGCACTGCACTGCGCGACTCGGTATAATGCATCGAGCTTCGACCGTGAAAAGGCGCGCCAGTCTTCTTTTAGTATCGTGAAAAGTGTAATCTTGGCTCGAGCTAGCGAGAGAAAATGTAGCGATTCCTACAAAGCTTCGTATACTCTTTCACAACGAATAAATATTACACAAACTCGGTAAAAGTATATATATTTTTACTTGTTGTAAAGTTTGTGATTTGTATAATAAATACTAATCTAAATTTTTTTTGCCACTTGCTAGTTTACGATACTCCATCTATTGACTGAATCCAAAAGTTCACAACGAACATGTCTTATGACACCTTTGATGACCATAAATCGTGTTAGTATACCAAACGAATTCCAAAATATCACTGTACGTATTCTACCTATTTAACAATGAGTCGACGACTTTTCCTAATAAATTATAAAGAGGGATAATTTTTGAAAAAAGTCTCGCTGCCCTAAAATTTCTATCAAATTCGCCAATCCTACAGCAGATATACGATGGATTTTCCGATCTAGATATCAAAAAGTGAATAAGAAAATATTTGAAAAGTTATTACAATCGCCTAAAAATGTTGGCGAAATTCTACTGGAATCCCCTATCCTATATATTGCGCAGTAAATGCAAAATTGTTTTAAAAATCGTAGCTCTTTTACAGTTTCATGCAAAAATTTCAATAGGGGATTTCCCTATCCAACGATTTAGGCCATGCAAAATACTATCGTAAAATTCTTGCTCCTCAAATTTCTAGCAAAAACTCCAAACATCCGAATTAGCGTTAGCAAGTGAGGTATAGCTCTAGTATTTTTTTAAACAGAAATCAGAGCTCGGACCGCGTCAAAATGCCTCTACCGATGCAGCTATATGCAGTGCCTATTAAATCAAGGATTATCGCGCTCGCTAGCCCGTGTAACGGACCGACGAACGGACGGACTCGTTTTTCACGGCATCGCTGCGCATACCGAACGCGCCTAAATAAGTTTTATTACAAAAAATCGTGTTGATTCTTACTCGTGTGAGCTGGAAGAAGGCTAATTGAATGAGACAAAATGCCGACGTGATGAAGGGGAAGCCAAGATCCCAGGCTATTGCACCGATAACTCTAGGCATAATCTGAAAAATAAAATAATCAATCGAGAAACATAAAAAATGTATCATAAGGCGATGACGATGGTTTCGTCGCAAAAAAGTTGGAATATTTGCAATATCGGGAGTTTCGGACCCACCTCTTTGAGATTGTAAGAATCTATGAATAGGCAGGTTGACCGCGAGGCTCCCAGAAGGCAGAGGAAAATGTTTATTGTTGACATATGGCGTGGAGTTGAGATCAATGATCTAAAAGTATAATTGATTACGTGGATTAATGAATTTATCAGCCTTGACAAAAAATATTGACAAAATCGTTCGAGAGGAAATAAAGAAAGAAAAAGAGTCGAATTTCTATGCCACGCGCGCGAGTAAAACGACGGGCTGTTATTCAAAGGATATAATGTATTTTCCATTCTCTCGCGCATCGATATAGCTCATACACACAGGGCGACGAAACGAGCGAATCACAGCTGCAAGCTCCGTTTAACGCCGTCCGTATAATAAAGCTCATTCATTTGCGCGTCGTACATACATATCGTTCGTGCTGTATGTATGCAGTATATATGCGGCCGTTTGAAAATCATTAGAGCGTATATCGTTTCGACATTGTAAAAGAGCAGCCCCCGAGCGCGTGAATGGGCGTAGAATTTCTATTTGAGTATATGAAACGGCTCGCGTAACGAGCAATCGTCGCTGCTACATGTACATAAGTATATGTGTACGCTCACAAAGCACAATGCACTTATCGTAAAAAGCGCTTCACAGAAAGAAAATCCGCGAGTGGCTTTAAAAGCCGCCCCCGCAGCTCGCGTACCTATATATAAGTACGACGGTATGTATAGCATCGCGACTACATTAAATTTCGAACGTGAAAAGTTGAATTCGTTTGACGGCATCGCGAGCCTCGCGCGCGCACAACTGCACATAAAGTCCGATTGTGTTAATTATTAAGATGAAAGCTAGCTGCCTCGCGTATTATTATGTAGGCTCGCGCGCGCCGACGTCGAACTCGTTCACGGTCAGCGAGCCGCCGACTGCAACGTTACCGCCGCGTCTTTAAAAAACGTCACGGCTTTGCTAACTTTGATCATAATGTAGCATAGCATATTATGAAAAGTATGTTCATTATGTATAGCGTTAAAAATGACTTTTATACGTTGGCTCTTACCTGAGATTCAATAATGAAAAGAAGGTATAAAAACTGAGTACGAAAAATAGACAGGCGAAGGTGTAGGTGTGCAGTAGAAAAAACCATCGCAAATCCTGATTGACCGACTCCCACGAGGGTGTCGTAACCAGCAGTCTGTCCACCATGAGATGAGCTGCCTGAGGCAATTCCGCCATCGTCGTCCCGCTGTCGTTGCTGTTGTTATTGTTGTTGTTGTTTACGATGGCTTCTGCACCAGGTAACGTTAAAAACGACGACTCGATGCTCGCATCTTTATGCACATTTGCCAAAGTAAAGCGTAAAACAAAAAACAGATAGAGAGAGAAATAAATCAGTGTGAATCGAGCTTTCGGCGACCCGCAGGACTCGCTACTGTGTTTCAATTGCCCGGGCGGGATATGTCGTGGAAGTTTTTTGATGGATCGATTCAGCCGATAATTTGTCTGGGCGATAATCAGCGGTACGCTGCCATTCTGGAAACACAGTAGAGAGCTTGCGACGATGATGGTAGTACGTATTGCCTAAGCCTCGGTGGCACCTTTGCCAAGTAACCCAATAATCGTATTTATAGCTTTTGCCGCAGCGCCCGATATGCTTATGGTCGATCGATTAAGAGAGAAAGAGAGAGAGAGAGAAATTATCACATTATATTATATATGACGGAGCGCCGATACGTGTGTCTGTGTGCATCGTCGCGTCGTTTTTTGCGCGCGTATACGTGTATGCATGTATGCAAAAAAGCTCTCCTCGATTCGACTTGACTGTACTCGATCGCGCGCGCGAGAGACAGGAGAGGACGATGCTGCTGCAGCAGTAGAGTACACGCGCTGGAATTGATTAAATATATGTGCGCGGTATATGTGCACTTGACACGAAAAGAAGGAAATAAAAAAGAGAAGAAGAGCGGCGACGATTCATCGAGCAAAAGAGATGCATCTCGTGCAGGCTCGTGTTTTTTATTATTACAGTATAGAGCTCTTTCTCGCGCGCAAGCTGACGGCCGAGCGAGCATCGGAGCAATAAGCAAAGCTAAGCAAAGCAAAGCAGCGAGAGATATATATAAAGGAAAATAAAAACAGAATCTGCTCGCGGTGCCATTGCAGCTGACGATATACATATTATTAATATATTATATATCCGTATATTTTGAAGGCAAGCGAGTAGATTGGACGCGTTTACGTCGCGTATCCGAGTCGCTGCAAGTTGAGCTTTGCGCCGTCGAACGCGACCCTGAAGACGCGCGCGATAGAGGTATCCGTACGTGGCCGCGTATACGTATACGCGGGCACCACACACCGCCACCCATCGCGTCCGCAGAAGAGCACACACAATTGCACAGCATCGAGTGTACAAAAAGCGAGAGAGAGAGAGAGAGAGATCACTTGTGCCACTGCACAGCCAACGACGATTCGATGCATCTATTAAACTGTACAAAAAATACACAGAACGCTCGCACGTGCCTACGTATAAATGTTCGCGCGTAAATCGGGGCTATCGATACCGTAAAAAAAAAGAAAGAAAAGAAAAAGTGCCGCACGTGTATAAATTATCGCACAAATGGTCGGATAACGATGATAATTAACGACGATAACACACCGCTGGTCGTGAGAATCGGCTGCAGGCCATTATCCATAATCGTTGCCACGCGCCCCGCAGCTCAGGGCTCATAACTATATGTGTGTTATATATTGGCGCGCTCGAGGCCTTGGCTGCCACTGTTACTGCTGCCGCTGCTGCTGCTGTTACTGCTGCTGCTACTGCTGCTACACTACTGCCTCGCTGCTCTACTGTATCGCCGAGGCGAACAACGAGCAGCAGCAGCGATCATCGCGACGCAGAGAGTGAGCGAGAGCTTGCAGTGTGCAGCAACAGGCTCTCTCTCCTCCTCACCCTCTCTCGAGGAGCTTGCAAGCCTACTCTCTCTCTCTCTCTCTCTACCCTTGCAGCTGCACACGGCCAGGCTTGGAATATTGATTCTCCTGCTTCCCCTCCTCTCGGCGAGCTGTGCATCTCGGCGGCGGCGGCAGCAGCTATCTCTCGAAAGAGCGCCGAGAGCTTTTCCCCGCGCGCGTGCGAGCTTCCGAAACGCCGTGCGCCCGCGCGGAACCACCCCCTACCCTCCAGCCTCTGCCTTCGCCGCCGCGACAGCAGCAGCAGCAGCAGCAACAACAACAACGTCGGCTCGGCGCTCGTCGCGGCTCTGGCCTTAGGCGCGACGCGCTGTCTCTCTCTTCTCTCTTCGTGCACGAGAGAGACGATTTAATCTGCCGAGCTTGATGGACAGCTTATTAGGCCCGACCAACTTGCAGCGCGCACACACGCGTACACGTCCGTGTGTGTAAGGGCTGACTTACACCTACCCCCCGTCCGTCTGTGCCGCTATCTCATCTGCGCGCGTTTATATACGCGACGAGCTCCTATCCTACTTTTCCCCAACTTTGTTTTCTCTCGCGTGCGCGACGTGTTATCTGTTGTATGTGTGCGAGCAGCGGCACATATATGCCAGTCTGCCAATGCCATGCTAATTGTGCACGACTGTATGTGTGTACTAGTTTACGGCCTGCAAGCACAATATACGCTCGCCCGCTGAGGTCAACGTATGAATCGCTGATGCGCGCCGCCCTCGCTTCGCTTTTTGATTTTTTTCCCCCTGTTTTTTCTACCCTTTTTTTCGTCGCTGCCGCGCGGTGTGAGCGCGAAGGATGCGGAATTAAACTCGGTAAATGTGAAATAATTCAGAGACGCAATAAAGACCTACTTTTTCTGTTCGCTTTCAATGCGAAACTGAATTAATAAAATCTTCTTTGATTTAATCGCGAAAGAAAATATAAATAAATATGCTCGATCCGTTCGTATCAGCTCTTTGATACGAACCATTTATCGAGCGTCGATTGAAATCCTCCTGTATTTATCTATTAAATATCATCCACTCGAGTTTCTCATAATGAAAGATAAATATGGCAATCGTTGGCGAAAACTTGAATTTCATTTATTGCCTTTCAAAACATCCGAACAAGTCGATAATCTTTTAATACCATCAGCACTCATTTAATATTTATCAAAGGATCGACAAAGTAAAAAAGTCGTTTTAGTTCATTAAAAAATTGTATATTTAATAATAATTGATTTTATCCTACAAATCGAATAACAAATCGGTGTCTTGTACATGGCGACATTCAATTAAACGAGTATTCACTTAAACCATATTTTTGAATTATCTTCTATAATACATTTGTACAGAGTAGTTATAAAAAAGTATTGAATGAATTTTTACATTTATACATTTTTTTCCTATGAAACTCAATAAAGTAATAAAATTTTTAAAATTATGTAATAACATCAGTCATGGTGAGATTTCCCATTTAGAACAGGTAATACCATTTCCTTTTACTTTCCCCAGTTTTATTGATAATTTTATTTTGACTGATATTGGATAACAAAAATATACTCAAATACAAATTAACAATTGAAGCAATTTATATGGATAACAAACTTATTCTGTGCTAAAGAATTAGATTTGCCTGATATCTTTCAATTGAATTTATGCTTACAATGTTTGTGCACTATTGTTACCTTGCGTGAGAAATAAACTCAGTATCCATATAAATTGCTACTGGTTGAGATGGAAGTATGCTTTGCTGACACAAGTGTCTTACATTTCCTTCGTGAGGTCAATGAAGTTGACAAGCCCTTATTGCTATCAACTGAAGAAGAATAAATACTGGACTTAGTACTTCTGAATAATCAAGATTACTAGGTCCAGCTAATTTCTTACACAACAAGTACTTAAAAACAAAAAGTAAAAGTAATGTAACCATGCTCCATAATGTTCTAAGTATACCAACTTTCATCATGCCCTCCATGTGCATTCTGATAAAAATTATTGCACAAAAATAAGTATTTAAAGCATCTGCAATGAACAGTGGAGAAAATACGATCCACCATCCTGAACTTTCAACAAAATATATTTCATCTAGTTTTAAAGCAAGTAAAATAGTAAAAATTGTCAAAGATACCAAATTGATCCATATTTCAAAAACTGTCAAGCCTAACCAGCTAACTAATTCATTGAGAGAAAAAATCATTATGATAGATAATGCTGCTTCACAATTTTTAAAAGTTACTATTAAAAATATTTACTTAATGTTATTAAATTAGCTATCAAGTTTTTCAGGACCTACAGCAACAAGTCTGTATAATCTAATGCGGATTGCCGAATTGGTTCTTTCGTTTACTTCAAAATCAGCATCATCATTCGTTGGTTCCCAATCATCTGTAAAATTATAATAGTTTTAATATTTTAAAATTAAAAAAGTAAAAGTAAATAGAATTGTCTCATGCGTTATGTACCAACTAATTTTACAGTTGAAGTTTTAGTGTCTATCTGCAAAGTATTGTGATGGATGGATTGAAGACGTAAAGCCAATTCACATGCACGAGGAATTGATTTTCCAAGACCATGAATAATAACTTCTCTTGACCCAGAATTGAAAATTTTTTCACAAAATTTCAAAAATGCCTGAATAAAAATTTGATGAGTTATTGATTTATTTTTGTCCTTCAATTATTATAATTTTTAATATTATTGAAACGGTATTAAATCACAAAAACATCGTTGTCAAAAAATTTGACAAGAATAAAAAGCTTTTGGTATTATCAACATGTTGTTTCACGAGTCACATACCTTGAAATTTGTTTTGTTGTCAACGTAGATGTCGTTTTTTGTTTTGGCTGATTGACGCGGTGTCCTTTTTTTAACAATGTGATTTACACTAGTTTGTTTTTTAACGCGACGCTCCATACTTATACATGTTCTTAAACATTTAGAACATAAAATTTGTATATGTCTAGGTTATAGAATTTGACATGAGGTAGCACCTGAAATGGGTCCTTCTAACGCACGTCGATAAGGCAGACTCTTCAATAATATCTTGAGAATATATAAGAACCGCTTTCAAATATCGTTTTTAATGTGTCACATTACATTTATATCAATATCAATTTGTTATGATATTATTCTATAAATAAAATTTTAAAAAATTGATCTTCAGAATCTTGTTAATTAAAATAGATGAAAAATTACTTCGAAGACATCTTCAATTTGATAATTTAAATTTATATTAAGCTTTGGCTATAAAACAGTAAAAAGTTGGGACCGGTGGCCCGTGGACTTGGTTCTTCTGTCTACTTTTGAAGCGTCTTGTGGTGTTGCAGTTATGATTCGTGGCTCGTAAGTCGTGAGTCGTGACGAACATCAGAGCTAAAGTGACTTAGGTTTTTCGTTTTCTGTGTTTTGCGGTATTACTGAAATTCCTATTCTAAAAGTACCTCAGCATTTAATCAAGATTAAAGCATCATCTTGTTTGCACGAATTCGCTGACTTGTTTTTCTTACACACATCTACATTGTTTTGTCTTATTAGTATTGCAGTAAACAAAATTTAAACATGAAGGACTCCGAAGTTGAATCCAAAAATATAATAAAAAACAGAGAGTTACTGTATAGGCATATGATAAGGTAAGTTTTTTATGTATTTATTTATTTTCATGCATTCCCAGCTGAAACTAACCTTTCCGGTTCCCCGGCCTAAACTTAAAAGTCAATTTCTGCTGGAAATTCATGATTAATAATGTAAACAGTACACCTACGAAGCGGAAAAAAGAGAACCTTAAGCATACAAACCCCTGCTTTGCTTTGGATAATCAAATGTACCCTGAGACTCTGAATTTTTTCGCTCCTTAGGTACATAATTTTTTATTTTTAATTATTTCCTTTAAAATTTACAATTAAAACATTTTCAGCCAATTATTTTATGATGGGCATCAGGCGATAGCTGTACAACTTTCAAATCTAATTCAGTCCGAACCACCCTGTCCACCATCAGATAGATTATTGCATCTGATGCTGATTGGAATGGCTCATGAGCCAGACAGATCAAAAAAAGAAAACAATCATGGATCAACGTTTTCAGCAGAGAACACTCTTGGACCAGGATTAGATTTAGAATTTGAAACAGAGGCAACAGTCCAAGCCCCAGAACCAGCTCAGTATGAAACTGCCTACGTGACATCTCATAAAGGAAATTGTCGTGCTGGTGCATTTTCTGCAGATGGTCAATTAATTGCTACTGGCTCTGTAGATGCATCAATTAAAATTCTAGATGTTGACAGAATGTTAGCTAAATCAGCACCTGAAGAAGTACCTGGAGATCAAACTGGTGGACATCCTGTAATAAGAACTTTATACGATCATTTGGAAGAAGTAACTTGTTTAGAGTTTCATCCTAGAGAACCCATTTTAGTATCTGGTAGTAGGGATTTTACAGTAAAGTTGTTCGATTACTCTAAAGCCAGTGTAAAAAAAGCATTTCGAACAATCACTGATGCAGATCAAATCAGGTGTTTATCATTTCATCCAACAGGTGATTTTCTGGTTGTTGGTACCAACCACCCAGTTATAAGACTTTACGATGTAAATACTGCTCAGTGTTTTGTCAGTAGTTTTCCTAGTCATCAGCACACAGGTGGAATAACAAGTTTAAAATACTGTTCTGATGCTAAAATTTTTGCATCAGCTAGTAAAGATGGATCGATTAAATTATGGGATGGTATATCAAACAAATGTATTAATACATTTACCAAAGCACATGATGGAAACCAAGTTTGTTCAGTGACTTTCACTAGAAATGGAAAGGTATGATTAAATTTATTTTTATTCTAATTTATATTTTAATAGAATCTTACATTGCAGTATTTAATATGTTTTTCCATTTACAGTATCTTTTATCATCGGGTAAAGATTCTCTCATCAAACTTTGGGAGTTATCTACCAGCAGATGTTTAATAGCTTACACGGGTGCTGGAACAACTGGCAAACAAGAGCACAAAGCTCAAGCTATTTTCAATCATACAGAGGATTATGTTATGTTCCCTGATGAAGCCACAACTTCTCTATGTGCTTGGAACTCAAGAAATGCTTCAAGAAAGCAATTGTTATCATTGGGTCATAATGGTCCAGTAAGAATGATTGTTCATTCTCCAGTGAGTCCGGCATTCTTAACATGTTCGGATGATTTTAGAGCAAGATTTTGGTATAGACGAATGCCTAATCATTAAAATTAAATAATGGACAAAATTATAAGTTATGGTTTTATTGTATTATGAATCTTAAAGTAATTTGTAGGAACAATGTACAGGTACGTTCGTAGAAAGTCGCTAGCTTACTTTTAACTAAATTAATTAATTAAAACTGTATATAGATAAATCTTAGATTAATTGTTTTGAAAAGTTAAAAAAAAAAAATTACACATGAATGAATTAACGACAAATTTATAATATTTTTGTATACTGTAAAAAATTAAACCATTAAATATATTTTAAACTTTAAACTGTATTCTAATTCATTAAGTTGAAACAGATTCATTTATATTTTAGATTAAGTTATTATTTAAAAAAAAATATTGTGGTTTTAAAGATGATCTTCCTGTTCAAGTAGCATAAGTTGTTGACAAAAGAGTTGATACGTTTTTTGTTATTTAAGAATGGCACAATCGTTTGATGAGTAAATAATTTACTGTTTTAATCATTTTAATTAAATATTTCTTGATGTCGAAAAAAACGATAAATCTCATTTCTAAAACGCACGCTAAAGCATGTTGCAATGTAACTACACTGTTCAACAGATTTGGCGCGTTTCATTTTCGTATTATGCGAATTGTAAATGGCTCCTGTCTGTACAGTACCGTACGGTGTATACTATACATTATCATGTGACCGACGCAGCTTCATAAGACGACGACCGTATGTCACCGCCATTTTCGCCGCACCAACGCGACGATACAAATTCGCAAAATATATGCCAAATGCAGTGACCTGGGTGCGCGTATCGTTTGGGCTAAATGGGATTTTTGAAAAGGCTAAAATCCAGCCGGTGTCGATTGTTTCAGCTTTCGCAAAAATAGTTCATAAAAAAACTTGCGTAAACATGGGCAGCGCAAGTTTTTTTCGAAGCTCGCGACCGATCGCTGGATTGGACCGTTGGTGGTTGGCGCGGACAAACAAACAAGTTGCGCGCGCATCTATCAACGAAGCTCGTTGGACGGTTGAGCCTTGAGACCGTTTGTTTTGGTTGTGCCAGTGCGCTGCATGAGTTGTCTACTCTACTGGTATGGCCTGCAGGCTTCGCTTTTATACACAATGCAAGTTCGACTGCGGGCTCGTACCGCAAGCGCGCGTCTATACGTCCAAAGAGGCACAGAGAACAAGCTGCAAAGTGCACATGTACTGCAGGCGAGAGCGCGCGCGACTGCGCGAATCAAATTGTAGATCGCGTGCAGTCTGTATGTGTTAGTATACATGCACATTTGTAAAGGATGAGAAGAGCGGCCGGTCAGTTCGCACAAAGTCGACCGTCGAGTTCTGGCGTTTTTCGTGCAGCGACGACGACACTTTCTGCAACACACTGATATACATAATACAGAACGGCGCAGAGAGGCATATAACTATATAGAGATACGAGTCGATCGTTGTACTACGCACCAAAGCTGCTCCGAACTGAGTGCAGCGTATCAGACCGTATTATATACATACGTGCTGAGTCGCGAGTCGAGAAAAAGAGAGCGAGAAACGAGTAGTTATAGGCCCTCCTCATTGCGCAAAGTCTGCCAGAGAGAGCGCGCCGCATCGGCGAGTAGTGCGTTTTCTTGCGATATACGTAACCGACCATTATCTATTTCTCTTATCGGTGAGTATCGCCGCGCGAACGCAGAAGAAACGCAAAGGTCCATATTACATATCGTATTCATCGTTCGCGCAATAATACAGGCATAGAGCCTCTCAACCAAGTCAACTTGTTATTTTCATCTCGATAAAATTTGCGTGTTACAGCTCGTTCAAAAACGGATTTCTTCTACCTCCCCGAGTCTCCGATTAGCCGACTACACAGCCGACTATTAGCGGCGGATCATCATAACATCGCGCACATATACAGCCAATAGCTTACAATTCAATGCGTATTCATATGTGTGCGTGTGCGTGTACGACACCTACATACGTTGCAAAGTAGTAGTCGGTGTGCGCTTACATATATCTGCGAGCGAACTATAAGCCAGAGCGCTAAGCAGGCGCAGCATATTTCGGTGAAGTAGCGTCGTGTGGTGGTAGTGGTGTGCAACTCCGACTCGTGCTCAAGAGAGAGAAAGAGAGAGAGAGAGAGAGAGACGGCATCGCGCGCGCGGTATATAGTGCTTGTTTTGAGTTGCCAGCAGCAGCAGCAGCAGTAGCGGCGCCAGTAGGTAGCAGATAGCGCGTCTTGATCGATCATCAGTTTCTGTGCTGTGTGTGATATTTTATCAACGACGAGAGAAACCTCTTTTTGCGCAGAGCTATATAATATACATTAGGATGTCGGCCGAGACCAAGAGTGAAAACAACAGCAGCGCGGCCCCGGTCGCGCTCGACGATGGCGTCGATAAGAAGGTAATACGGAGCACCACAACTTGCATGCCACTCTCGCTCGTGTATTATTATTTGTGTACGTGCCGCCCCGCGTTCGCTTTCGACTCCGACTCTCGATGTATTATGTATTCGACGACGACGACGGCGCGAGTGTTATGCCGTAGGATATGTATACACACGATGCGGTGCGGATGAGAACGAGGAGGCCCCTCCACCACTGGTCGGTCGGTCGCCGCCGCCGCCGGCCTGCCTGACTGCTGTGCTGCTCTCCTGTCCGCGTGCGCGCCGGCGACCCGAAGATTCGCGCCGTTCTTCTCCTGTCTACGCCTACGCTCTCGGCTCGGCTCCTCTGTTGTTGTGCCATCATTGTGCCTCGCTACGATTTTTCTTCTCTTCGCCCGATGCGTCCGTATACCTCCGCTTGGACGCGCGTTTCTTTCTCTCGGGTCGGCGCGCTCGCCACCCGTCAACAGCGTCTATTGTTATTATTATTCTTCGTGTGTACAGTATGCACCGTGACCATGATTGCCCGCCGCGTCGAGCGCCGATCGAGTCTGGTTTGGGGGTTAGGGCAACCGCGCAGCGCAGTGCAGATCAGCAGCACCAGCAGCAGTCGGCGGCGCCCAAGACTATCCAACATGGCCGACCTGTTGTTTTTCTCGACTTGTGTGTACACATAATGTATACGAAAAAACGTCTGTCGAGAACGTGAATTTTTTCGCGCGACTCTCGACCTGCCGTGAGTCGCGATTATTTTTCTAACGGCGGCTCATATTTTTTTCTTGCCGACGCTCTATTGCGTGTGGCAGAAAGAGTGTGCCTCGCTCTACTCGGGTGAAAACGGTGGCGGCGGCGGCGCAGCCGGCAACGATCACGTACGCCGCCGAATCATTGGCGCGTCTTTGATGCGCGCGTGGGTCTCCCGATACATATACGCATAATAACACACTGTGCTGCGTCGGGTTGCAACGATGCATCGCTTTTGCATCGATAGGACGCGAACGACTCGGAGCGTCGCATCGATAAGATCCAGCCCGAGACGTAGTTTGATGCGACGATGCAGCTTAAATGCATTTTTCTCTCAGTTTTTTCGATCGTTCGCCTGCATATGTATGTGTGACGGCATTGGCCGCGCTCGCGTGACAGTCGCGGGGGGATATTCCAATGCCGCGCGGAGCACGCTACAAGGCGATGATGCAGCAGCAGTATAAGCGCAGGCACTCGTGTATGTGTGTATGCGTCGTCGTTCGCGCTCTATTGCGCCCGCGTGTGCTTCCTGCGCTCTCCGCGGGTCGCGACTCTGTTTTATCTAAGTGTCGTATGTATGTATACTTTATACAGCGCGTACATAATACGCGAACGCGAATTCGTTGGACATTTCGGCCAAAGTACGCAATAATGACTGACGCGCGCTCACACATACGCAGCAGCGGTGGTAGCCGCTTCCTTCGGCGTACATTGCCTCGCGTGCGCGTATTGTGACTCTTGTCAATCTGCAGTCTGCAGCTCGGCGCGTTGCTTACAAACTGTAGACTTTGACAAACGCGCGCTTCGCTTACCTTTAGGACATGATATGAATTTCAAATAAGATGTATTATGCCTCTCCGCTGCAACCGCACCAAGTTTCTGAGCGCTTATTTTTTTCTTCTAAATTTAATTCTAAAAATAGTTCAGTCTACATTATATATAAGTCGTATAATGCAAGGAGAAAACCTTGACAAATAGAACTTGATACAGTAAAAAAAAACTACCGACTGTGACATGTTGAACTCGCGTGTATAATTGCTCGCAATTCAGGGGACCTCGAACGATTGAGATAAATTTCGAGTCTCATTGATCTATAATTTCGATGAGTAGGACTGATCAATCTCGAAAAATCTCTGCAGCGATCCTTAATTAAACTACATTTGATCATTTCAAATTTGGTTTTGAAAACTACGCAACTAGCAACCTGAGACTCGGAAATAAACATTTGATCTCTGCACTCCGTCTAGAACTTCAAAACATTTTAATTCACGCCGAAAGAACACGAAAAAAATAATTCTAAGCATAGCTTCGTGTTACTTTGATAAATGCTTCATTATAATACGTCGTCTCAAAATCGGTAAGACGAGTCTATACCATTATTCTCCCGAGACGCTGCAACTCCAATATTACAGAAGGGATAAGCACGAGTGTTCCGCGGCGCGTGCAGAAGTTAGCTAGCTGTCGCGTTTCCCGCCATTTCTCGCTGTCCGCGCCGTGAAGTTATAGACAAACATTTTTTTATTAATAATTTATTTTACGATAGCCTCTTTCTGATCCATTATGTGGGATTTCAAGTTGATGAAATTACAACCTCGCGTTGTGATCCGAAAATTAAAAAAGGTGCGTCCTTGACAAATTACCAATTGCGTTTAAATTTTGATCTCAAGAGGATGACCAAACTAGACTAAAAATAATTTTTCCAATCCAGCTCTCTAAAAATTTTTATTGTTTATTTTTTTTCCTAAGCTCTACGGTGTCCCGACGACCATAAAAATAAAACTAAAAGCCTTCTAATAAAATATTTAGTTTTAGTTTCGTAAAAACGGATTTAAAAGTTGATTTTTAGACTAATTTAGAAAAATTTGGATTTCGGACTTTTCAATTTCCTGAAAAATGAGTCTGAAACGTATAACTTATTAAATTACTAATATATTGATTTTTTTGTAGGAGGAAGTTCAGGATGAAAAGCCAGTGACCAAAGGCAGACGAGGCACCAAAAGGTTATCAACCTTAGAAAAGACAGCCCAAGAAGCCAATATGATCATAAAGGTAAATATTTTTTTTTTAATTCAAGCACATTGCAAGAACATAGACTGGTTGACTTGAAAAATAGGTATTAGGCGATACAAAAACGATAAACGGAAAAAATTCATCGATACGGTTTACTTCGTGCTATACCATAGATAAATATTTCTTAACTCGGTCTTTAAACTGTGTACTGAATTGGTATTAAATAAATCGTTGATTATATACGTAAAAAACGAAACTTCTCATGAAAAATAGAATACAATGTATGTAAATCTTCGGGTACAATCAAATGAATAAATTTTCACGAGACGAAAAATAACTAATCTGTGTCTTCCGTATAATTTAAATTTCAACAAGTCGAGGTTTATTTGTCAATCATACAAATATTTATAATAATCAATTTTTCTATTACAGGACTTGAATTCATCTGGCCCCGAAGTAGAAGGAAGAAGGCGCACACGCAGTTCAGCTCGCGGTATTGTCACACCGGTTGTTCCATCGCCTCCTAAAAAAGAGAAAAAAGAGCCTAAACCCAGCACTGGTCGTGGTCGTGGCAGGCCGAAGAAAACCAATGAGAATGATGAAGAAAATGACAAATCTTCAAACAATAAAGCCAACAATGATAAGAAAGAAGATTCCAAAATGGAGGTAGACGAAGAAGCTAATGACAAAGAAGATGCCAAAGCTAATAACGAAAATAAAAAAGACAGGTACAATATAATATTTTTAATGAAATCTTTATTCCCCGTTTAATTGACTTGAGCATTTTACATCCAAAAACACATAAACTGAAAAAAGATGAAAAAATCTTTCATTTTACACTCTCACAATATTGCTATTTTTAATTTTTAAAATAAGGCACAAAAAATAATTCGATAGATTATTAATTGAGTGATGAATTTTCAGCAAAGATGATTCGACGAAAGAAGATAAAAAAGATGAAACGTCTAATAACGTAAAGGCCGATAAAAATGAAAAATCAGAAAATAATACCAACGATTCTAAGACCAATGCTGTCCATGAATTTGAGTCGGGAGCCAAAAAAGATGAAACAACTAAAACTAACTCCGATAGCACGACAGAATCGAGTAAAGACAAGCTCGATGGAGCAACTATAGGCAAACCAGCTACTGAAAATTCTGCCAGTGACAGTGCGCCAGCTGTCTCTGAGAAGAAAGAATAATTATGATTATGAACCACGTATCAAGTACATCTCTTTCCATGTAAGGATTAGAACTTAATGGTTCTTTGATGACTGTTTTTTTGATAGTAGACGCAGAATAAATTGTCTACAGAAAAATTGAATTTTTCTTACAGCAAGTACCAGATGTTAGGCTTAAAAATTCAGCCCTTCTGTTTATTTTAAGTGATTGACAGTGACTTGTTATTTGTCTGACTAATCAGCGCATCACAGTCAAATTCCGCTTGCAATGGAATAGAGAAAAATATTTTCGACGTTTCTCATTAGTGAAGAACGTTAACTTAGCAAGAGTAATGATTTATTTTTAGAGATTTGATAAGGATAAAGTTGAGTTCTGAAGTAATTTTATTGTTTAAAATAAGTTTTTTAAATATATGCATCACAACTAAATTCCTTTAAAGTTTAATATATTCAGAATGCCACTCGTTTTTTGTCAGATCAATTTTGTAGATTTACAAATATATAAATAAGGCTAGTATGATTGGAATATAATGATATATATATTTATCATGAAGAATTATAATTTTATAAAGGAAGTGAAATAAAAAATCTTGAAACCTACAAAATTGATTTCAATAATGAATTTATCTCATTAATCATATGCCCTAACTAAAATTTGAATGATCTAACGATTTCTGTTGTAAGTAGGCAAAAACATTTCAAAATAATACTTTAAGAATTTGAGGCTTGAAAAGTCTCAACTGCATTAATTAATGATTTTTGTTCATTTTAACTAATAAATTAAGTTGTACTGATGAAATAGTTAGTACAAGCATAATAAAAAATCGTTATGAGATGAGCATAAGTAGTTCGTGTACAATGATATTGCTGTGAAATATATTTAATATGGGCTTTAAATTTAAAATTGTAACATGAACAGACATTTTTAAGTTAAAAATCTCTGCAACTATTATATTAAATAAATATTTTACTATATTTTACTTTATAAATATATTCGTATTTAACCAACTATACTTATTGGTTTGAAAATAAATAAAATCTTTTAGATTGTACTTTACATCAATTTATTTTTATGTAAGAATATCAAAAGTAATTTTGGGACTTTCATTCATTATCAACGACATGCATAATCTATAAAATATAAAAAAAAGGAAAAATTATCATACAATGTTATTTTAAGTTTTCGGGACCGACAGATTTCTTTATTAATGTCTTTTTGGTCCTATATTAAATATGTTGATATTATCGGGTATTCGAACGGTTGTGAATGTACAGTTAGTTTAATTATGTGATGCGTTATACAAGAAAAATGCAATGTTAAAACCCTTGATTTATGCCTATGCTTCCAAACAAATTACTTATACATGTAACAATTTGCTTACACAAACAAATTAGTCTATGAATTAATTTCAAAGACCGGCCAATGTAAAAATGACCATTTTCATACATACTATCAGATTTCTGACTATTTTTCAACAAAATCTCTATTGTGAAGTAATGAATAGTACAGTCTTCTGATAATTATTCAGTAATAATTTTGAAATATGTTTGAAAGAATTTTCACACTGGCTACGACATCTCAAAACTAATATTAATTTTGGAAGATTGAATGAAGCTGTACATTTTTTGCCTCAATGTGCTCATTGTCGTTAGTAATGTATTGTCAATTGTAGAAAGAGTCTTGTACTAAAATTAAGTTATATGTTTTGTACATATATATGATTCAAAATACAAGTGTCATAATTCATTGTAATGTCTATAAAATGTTCATTTCAAAAATTAAAATGTAATATTTGCTCTAATGCTTCAAGATTTTCATAAATGTAAGCAAGGGAGTATATAAAGATAAAATCGATATTAATTTTCAATCATAAATATTTTATTATTATGGTTTTTTGAAATGAATAAATTATACAGTCTATTAGTTTCAATCGCAGCAAAAAAAATTTTCTCGGGATGGATCAGTTAGATATTGATTTACCAAGTATAAAGAAATATTTATTGTGTATGCATGATTTAAATTGATACCATAGCTTTTTTACACATTGTTTTAAGATACAATCGTTTATTTTTTAAATAATTTCTGTATAATGAAAGGTTTATTTAATATTTCAATTATCGAGTGCAATTTAAAACTAAAAATTTTATGCAAAAAATGAATAAAACTATTCAGAGTATCACTTGAACAATGGCATTAAAAAAATATCACGATAAAATTATTTTAATATTGAACCGTTTTTTTTATATTCAAGTGTAAGACATCTATAATTAATTGTCAACCCTACAGGCAATTATCAAGTTTGGAAATGGCAATTTTAAATAGCTTTTATCTTTCCAGTAACTTTATTTTCATTCAAGAATATTGTCCTAAACATTAAAAGTTTTCAACCATAACATTTATTATAAATTTTTATAATTAAATTGGACGTACGTCAAAGTCATGATCAAAATCAGTTATACAAATTAAGTAATTTATCTGTCTCAAAGGTGATAAGAGAATTAAATGTAAAATGAAGTTGAAATGATTAAATAAATTTGATATCTAAAACATGTAAGTGATTTTATATATGGATTCATATTCATACATTTAGGTACAAATTACAATGTATAATTTGATAAAATATACATTTTACATTTATGTAACTGTGAACAAGATTAAAAAATTAAATAATTAATAGAAAATTTGTAGGGATAGTATTGACCAGCCTGAAAAGGTCTTTCAAATTAACTAGGAAAGATGCTCCAACTTATACTTTAAACGAAAGTATGTGTGTAAAAAAAAAAAAAAAATGTGCTGTAACAAAACCAGCTTAAGTTATAACATATAAATGATAGGTACTGATCCTACCTGCAGAAGAAATTATTAGAGTTATATTAAAAAGATAAAATAAAAATGATTATTGCGTGACCGTGAAAAGACGATTATAAAGTTGAAATTGAATTTTGTATTACAATGCTTCAAATCAATAAAATCAGTGGAACATAATGGCTCTGAACCTTTATTTATACCTCATAATCTGCACTTCATATAAAGTTTGATATTTCAGAATGATTCTCCGAAAACTAGAATTCATCATGCTATTTGATTGTCATAATAAGTAAACACCAACTAGACACGTAGACGAGTATACGGAGATCAGAGTAAAACTTGTCAGTATCGAGCGATTGGTTGACCGTACGATCACTCACTAACAGTTTGACAATGTTTTCGATTTTCGAACGTTTACGTTAACCTGCTAAAATGATCAGGAAAGCATAAATAAAATACTGTATTGTGTAGAGTGACTCAAGTTCCGGTGTTAGTAGTGACAGTCACAATTTACATTGACAATTCTCATCTATTATTTTTTGGTGCAAGATAAACATTTCATCAGCAGTTCAATAGATCAATGTAACGGATTTTTATGTTTGAAAAATCGAATCAAGGTAACCTTTCGTTGGTAAGTTTTTGCGTTGAATTTCGTAGTGGTCAATACATGGATATTTTTTTGTATTCTGAAATCTAAACTTTCCAAACGTCATCACAACTTTGCTATTAAACTTTCAATAGTGACCAAAGCATATGAAAGCCTTGTTTAGAGAAACTCATTAAAGGGGGCATCACATTGCAATGTTCCGATTCGTTCAAAAGTTTCCCTTTTATTCGTTAGATATTTTAAGGTAGCGATTGCAAAAGGTTTCGTGAATATCGATTTTTTCGAATCAGTTATGGAAAAATTAACGTAAATATTGGCAGTTGGTTAAATATTGTAGATTCAGAATTGTTGCATGGATTGTTTCATGCTTTGATAATCTATCTATATTACTTTAGAGACATTTGTAGTTGTTGGAAAACATTATTTGTTTCGTAAAAAAGCCTTAAATTAATTATTAAGATTTACTTTTGTTAATATTGGCAACAATGATAAGTTGAAATTTAAAACCTGAAAGTTCTAAATCGAAATTCTAAATTTTACACTTTTCTAACATTGATTATATTTGAAGGTGGGCACTCAACTTACGATGTCTTCGTCTGATAAAGAAAATATAGACACGTGGAACTTGTCGGCTGAGCTCAATACATCGAATAAATCCATTGACGATGAAAAAGATGAATCAACTTCAGAGGTACTTATATTGTTACTAATTAAATCATGAATTATGAAAAATTGTTTGTACCACTTTGCCCGAGCAAAAAGGGGGATGGACATTTTCTATTCAAAAGTGAAAATTATAACTCCATTAGTTTGCATAATAATTTAATTCGCAAACAAGTGTTTTGTACTGAATACCTTATAGATATTTTTATTTGCTTACAGCTACGAGTGTATTTTCGATCGAGAATGATAGAAGCTTTGATGGAAAATATTCAAAGCTCCAAGTGCTCGATTGATTTGAAAAAAAGATTACTAAACTCAGCTAGTGAAGTAGCTAAAAATTTCGAATTCCAAGCATTTGATTCGTCAAAAAAACTTATAAAATATAAATATTTAGTGGCTGAAAAGGTAAAAAATGGTTTAAATTTAATGTTTTTAGGGTTTAAAAGTCATTTTAAATGTCGTGCTTAGCTTACAGATATCAAGAAAGCAACGAAAAACAATATTTTGAGTGAATTATTTGATGAGGATTCGGAAAATATCCCGAATGTAAAAGAGTTCATACCAAACACAAACTTTGACGAATCAACTACAAAAGAAAAAGCTGAATCAAGCACTAGTGAATACGATCTGATTAAACCTTCGTACTCGAATCTTGTAAACTATCTGGATAAATTAACGGTTGCATCCAAACTTGTTAATTATGACGACGAGGTCGAAACTCAGGGGACAGTGTATTATTCCCAAGAAACAGTATATGAAACACCACCTTCAGATTTTAATGATAAATACCTTGAATCGCTTCAGAAAAACATAAATTCCTCTGTAAAATCGAAGCGCATTATAATTCAAAACGATACCTTCAAGAAATTTGATCATTCAAAAAGGGAACATTCTATTTCAAACGTTTTAGACGAGGAAGTTTTAATGAAAAAATCAAAGTTAGAAGGTAGTAACGAGTCGATATTTGATGAATTCGAATTTTCGGAAACTAAATCAATAAACTCAAGGGTAGAACAAGATTCGGGAGATAATGACACTAAATATAATTCATTTGAATTTGACGAAAATTTCCATTACATCACTGATCTTGACTCGCCAAAGCAAAATACGGAAATCGAAGTATCTTACTTCGCAGATCCCGGCATGGGCCATTTAAACTTCGATGTTAAAAGTGCCGAAACAGAAAAGTTTGATAAAATATACGTCGATGAGAATGGCGAATTTCTTTTTGATGAATATGTTGACCATAAAGATTCCTATACACCTAGTAATGAAGAAAAAGAGGAGCAAATTCATGATATTTTGAAGCCAATAGTCGATTATTATCGTTCCACTTTACTTCTTAAAAACGATGAGGATTACAAACGTGTTTCTTCAAATATCCTGGCGGATTTGATGAAGCGTAAAATAAATAATAGCAGTTTCGGTAAGTATTTCATTTTTCTGGTACACTCAAAATATTTTAACTAAACTGCTTTCTAATAGTACGATTTACTTTTAGTTGACAACGTCCAAAAGTATGCTGTTTTTGCCATTTCATCTTACAAGTACATCTAGAAAAATGAATTTCTCACGTGTGATTCGTCATAAGGCTGATACTTATGTTGTTAATATTTTTTGAAGAAGAAACCATTGGCGTCTAATGCTCAATACATTTTGAGTGTATTTAATGGATTTCAGTATTTTACCCTGCAATTTCGATATTATAGGGTTATAGCAAAACTTATTTAGTCTTTCGAGACATTCCTTACTCAGTAATTTTCGTGGGGACTTAAGGATATTACATCGATACTATTTTTCGCTGTATAATTCTCAATTATATTTTTTTTTGCAATCTCTCGACATTGATACATATTTTTTCTTTCTATTCATATGATACACATTACCAAAATTAAAAATATGATTATAAAATTTGTTAAAAATTCACATCTAAACCAACGATACTTATTTTTTAATCATCAAAAAAAAAAAAAAAAAAATCATAAATAAAAAAAATACTGAAAGCAAATGAGTTTGTATTCTAATATTATTTTTTGTAATAAAATTAATACTGGTCTTCAATATATTGTATGAAGGAAATCGAGTCATTTTATGAATTGATTTATTTTATTGTTTTAATTATCTTGATGCAATGGTGTAGCCAAAACAAATATCGGTATTTTATTTTCCATACTGCTCAGCCTACGAATGTACACGAGCGTCGATCTCAGTTGATTGCCCAGTGAAACTGTATCGATTTTGAAATAATTGAGCAAACATTCGGGTGGCCAGGAACGTCAATAGCTTTTGCATGACTTGATAAACAACTCGCGCAGGAGACTAACGGAGGTTCCACCCATTCCACATTTTAATATCATTAATCTTTTAAAAAATGAACCTCATTAAAATGTAATGAAAATAAACCGATCATTCGACCGCATTTTTGATCTGGAAATATTTTATTTTAGAAAAAGTAAAAATATAACGGTAAATCATAGAGCTATGTGGCAGCTCAAATTCAATGAAGAAAAGTGCCACAATTTTGAAAGAAATGCGCAGATTTTTTGGCAGAGGCAAAGGTGCTAGCTCTTCTTTTCTTTGTCTCAAGATGTCCCGACGAAAATCTCGCCTTTTTTTTTAATACACGATTCGACGCCATGAAACGTGCAGAGCTTTGCTCGTTCACTTAACTGGCAAGACAGGCATGAAGTGCGAAGCTCCTTTTCGAATCTCATTACTACGTCTTCTATGCGCATCGTCGCTTCTTGAGATATCTGCAGTTCTTGTCTGGCGTTTTTTTTTATTGCGGTGGTGTGCCAGGAAATAAAATAAGAAGTTAGGAGACAAAGATAAGTTCAAGAAGATTCTTATTGGATTCGATTCCGGATGATCCTTCTTCCTTTTTTTTGCAAAAATGTATATACCACGCAGAAATACATGCAGAACGATTGCAGGGAAAAATATCTGCGCGCACGTAAAAGGGTATATACGCAGTCTACTTATTTTTCGAAAATAAATTCGAGTTCGTTACACGCGAATGTGCACAATGCTAAAGTTGGATTTTTATTTTATACACAGGCGTATCGAAATAAATTCGTACCTAAGCCTGCATTGTATTCTACGCACGTGTGTATGTAAAAAAGGCCAACACACGTAAGTATCGAGAAACTACACATAGGAATAATATAAAACTTTTATTCTGACAAATTTCACAGATGAGTGCACAAAAAATTCTACTCGATTCATCAGACCTAGGCGTTTTATTTTACCTCTCCCCTCGCAGTCGCACACGTTCGCGCGATATATACACAGACCACAAAACTTATATTACAAAACTTTATAAATCAGTCTATTTTTCAAGTAACTTTAAAAGTAATTTTGTAAGGCATCTTTCCACCGGCGGTGTATATATTTCTACTATTTTAATCGAAGTTTTTTCGATGGGTTGCGCCGTTTATAACTGTATTGTCAGGGAGTTATTCTGTTTATTTACATCATATGACGCGAGCAAATAGATATCAACGGCATTCAATCCTCTCGGCTGAATCAATGGACGTACTGTGAATGCGATTGTCAATTGTTAACAATGGCAATGTGTTGCGAGTGCGCCTGTGAAACTATATACAAATAACAAAAGCGGCCCGCGCGACATTATCCGTTCAGTTTCGATCAAGCTCCAGTGTACTTGGCAGTACATGTATACAGATTCGCGCGGTTTCGCCTCGTCTTAAGCCCACCCGACCGAAATCCAATTAAGCAAAGCGATGATTTCGATGAAGGGCGGTTTATTCGCCGCTTAACTTTTCCGACTTTGAATGATTTCGATGCGGCGCATTGAGGGCACACCATTGAGTTTGTTTTTCAAAGCTACATAATATCCAGAAGGAAGTAAGCTGCAAACGACTTATTAAATTTATTTATTCATTTTTATTTCTATAGCTCTTATGAAGAGATGTGTAAGTTCAAGTGCGTTGGATTTAATGCAACGCACACTCAGGTTATCCTACTTTTTTTTTGCACGAGGCGTTCTTTGTGAAAAGAGGTCAGTTGTTGCACTAGGTAGTTTACACACACACCCACTCACATACACACACAATGTATATGCACATGCAGGCGCGTAATACACACATCTGAGCACTTCGAACCTGTTATTCTTTAATTGCAGCTATGTTCGCACTGGCCTCTCTCTATGCTCGCTCCTTGTCGCGTGATTGCCTCGAGCAGCGAGCTTTGCGGTCGTCAATTTCGAAATATGTTTTCCACGCACTGCTAAAATTTTATATATATGAGTTTTTTCACAGAAAATAATTTGTCAAACGATTGTATATACCACTCTAGCGTTGGAAAAAAGTTTTTTTATTATTCTCAAATCACGAGGAAAAAGTCGTTATTAAAATAGTTCCTCGCGGGTAACGCCGTCGTTTATTGCGAGCGAACGGCAATCAAGGCTTGCACTATATGAAAGATTCAACGATTAACGACACACGTATTTACGAGCGACCGCAGCGAAACCGAAAATTAGGCAAATTAACGCTTGATTTCATTATAGGCAACATGAGTGGAAGTCAGGGCAGTGGAAAATAGAAAATATTCCGTACAACCGGAGCTCGTCGTTGGGTTGACATTTGGTTACAGAAATCGTCCTGTTGGCGCAACGGCCCGATGAGTTGTTTTACTTTCCGCGTCGTTGTACACCGAACTGCGCTGTCGGTCTCGAAATATACGTCCATGTGTACATAACTCGCAGTGTTGGCCATCTGCTCTTGACGTGTCCGATCAAAGCTTGGATTTTCCACTGCAAGCGTTGTTCAAACTTCGCCCATAGTGACAGAATCGCGTTGACGCATCACACTTAGCCGCTTACGCATTTGTTTTTTTATATGTTAACTAATGAAATTTTGCCCAAAAATGTGTAAAATTGTTATATTGCATAAAAATTCATGATAATCTATGAAATTTCATGATATCGTGTGAAATATCGTAATACTTCATTGTGACGTGCATAACAAACACGTTCATAAAATGTTAGCTCGTGCTCGTATCTGTTTTAAAATGATTTTTTTATGATTTAACAATTCGAATTTAGTAAATTATTTCCGATATAAAAGTTGCATGGACTGATCAATTGTTAAACATCCATAATCGGTAAAGAGAAACAGAAAACAAACTTTTAATGAAAGTAAAATAATTCAATTACTGTGGGTATCGACAAACAAATCAAATCTAAAAGTGACTTATGCAACACTCGTTGGAAAATTAACTACATGTTAACGAATAATCCTCTGCGGATAGAACGATTTGATCTCTGTTGAACGAACAGCTATGGTTACCAGATGTATTCATTTGATACGGTTGAGAAACTGCTTTAGCATGATGGAGAATTTTAAGAATTTAGCATTGTAAAAAGTTTTACATCAGTTCTTTATATTCTTCTTTTATTTAAACTTAGTTAAAAGAATGCGGTAGATGTGGCCGACTGGAAAATTGTTAATTTTTAAAATTTAACCCAATTAGAGTCTGTCATTCAAACTTTACTTTCTGTTTGTTACTGATTAGACCAACTTTTTTATATTAAATAAAAACTGCGAAAGAAATTTAATATTTAAAATTCTCCTCTCTCGAAAGGAAAAGGGACTTTTCGCATTTTCCCCCCAATGAATCTCTCTATTTATTCACCGGTAGTTCTCCTCTTGATTCAAATAAAAATTTCAATGTTTTACATTTACACATCTCTCTCCGAGAGACTGTCAACAAATTCTCCTCGCCGATTCGCGAGCGATGAAGGGAGCAAATATTTGCACGACTTACATTCCATTTCAATATCTTTCGGGTGGGCGTAAAATCACGAGGAAAAAATTATATCCAAAAGTTGGTTATTTTCAGGGAAAGAGCGGAAAGCCCGGCAGCTGGTTATAATCCGAGTCAATGAATTTGCCCAGAGCGCGCGAAAAAAACTTCTCGCCGAGTGCGCGTATAATGCACACATACATACACATTACAGGCAGCTAGCGAGCGAGCCAACGCGCGACCTAGCTCTTATACCTAGCGCAGGCAAGCTAATACCTATATATGCGTATAGTAGTGCTCGTTGCACTCGTGTACCCACTACAATAGTGCTTCCAAGGGAGCTATTTTTACACCCTCCTTATACGCTTTTTTTTCCTCTCCTCACTCTCTCTCTCTCTCTCTATCTCGAGCGCCCGCGCGCGTTTATTATCCAGCGCGTGTATGGCACAGTTCGTCGACTCGCTGCTCATAGCTCGCCCAGCACCAGCAGCAACTACAACTATTATGTATGTACGCCGGGCTTGTGTCAATATTCTTAGGATGTACAATGCAGCTCGCGTGTGCAGCAGCAGCGGGGCATTTCTCGAGAGGATGAAAAGTTGATACTTACACTCGTCGTTAATTTGCCAGGCCATTATTACAGCTGCAGCAGCTGTAGCTGCTCCGAGCCATGCGCACCCGAGTAATTCACAACCGAGTTACAATTTTTTTTCTCCCCCTTTTCATTCCACCCGCGATAAAACGCGCGCCCACACGCCTTGCCCCCCAGAGTGCTGCAGCGCGAGAGCCGTTATAACCGCCGCGCAACACGGAGCTGGGTTAAATGAACCACTTGGCGTTCAAATTTCAAAAAGTCTCCCAGCATTGTGTGCGGTTTTATGCGAGTGAGCTCGTATCGGTCGATTTTTTTCTGCAAAATTTCGCACAACAGCCGGCGTTGTTTTAACAATATAATAAAATGAGAATGGGCGACGATACGTCTCGATGCCTGCATTGTTATGCATTATAATGAAATTGTAACGATAAATATTGCACTCGTAATGTGCGAGACATTAAACAAAACCCAGCTCCACAATTGTAAAAATGTTTGCGAAATGAACGAGGCATGTTGTTGTATGTAGACTGACGATTTCGCTGACGGCGCGAGTTGTACAACGTCTGCAAGCACGACTCGGACAAAAGTAAAAGATAAAAAAAGGAGAAGAAGAAGAACCTAACGATGTCCGCAAAAAGGTGAAAAGACTCTCGCGCGTTCGTGAGTATATAACCAGTGGCAACACATCACAAAGCAACTCCGTTAATCTTGTTTTCGTTAATTACGCTGAAGTAGCGCATCCGTTTTATACCTACGTGCTTGCAGCCTGCAAGTACCAATTGTACCTTTCTATACTATATATACTGGGTAAGAATGCCAGACGCGAGTCTTTTTACCTCCCCCCCAATCCGCAGCAGACTCTCTCTCACTCTCTGGTCGTGGCCCTATTACTCCACTGTCTATCTGATCTTTTATAACGCTGCGCGACTTGCAGGCTACGCGTTTTGCATTATTTTTACTTAGCCGAGGGAAATTCGGTTTTAATTAAGACCTTTTTTCTTTCTCATGGCGAAATAATACGTTTGTGAAAGCAGAGAGAGAGAGAGAGAGAGAAAGCTGAGAGAAAAAAATGCATAACGATTCTTTGTGGAATGACTATTACACTGTCGCGAAGAAGTATACCGGTTATATAAAGGAAAAAAGCTCGGACTTTTTTTCAATCATTAGTTTGAAGTAGTCTTTTGTTTCGATCGTGCAATTTCATCACATTATTAAGCAATTTGGCGACGTTTTATAATTGCTATATAATTTGCAGGAAAAAAAGTTCTTAGCATACATTTGCAAGTAAAAATCGTTTTTATGAAATATCTAAAATGCAAATAAGCACTTCTCTATGTTCAAAGTGTAACAAGGCGAAGAAAAAAAAATTCAAGCAGGGTAGAGGAGGACATTCTACGGAGCTCCGAACAGTGAAAAAGCCCATGCAACTGTGTAAAGTGCTTCGTGGCGGTGACTCGGCACGTTGTCGCGCGCGCGCGCGTTTTAGCTTTTCCTCCGAGTCTGAAAAACGATGTCGCCATTTCGCATTATATATCTATAAGGATGAAACCATACTCACTCTTTCGCGAGGATACATTAAGCCGCTCTCAAAGAATTTCTTATTTCGCTCAGGAAGTAAAAATTTACCTTTCATTTTACGAAAATATCTCTATCTATTCAAAGGGTAGCAGAATTTGGATTAGAAAATCATTCTTTTATCCGGATTAAGAATTTACTTTTTGGTTCTTTTCGTTGGTATTTGATAATTGGAAAAATGTACAAAGGGTTAATGTAAAAGTAAATATTAGTTATTTTTCTGGAAGATTTTTCAAAATATTTATTTTTGGTTCATTATAATATTCTATTGTACAGGAAATGACAAATTATACACATGATATGCAGCATTCGTGATATAATATAATCAGCAAACTTTTGATAAATATGAATGTCGAGTTGGAATTTTGTTTATGTTATTAGTTACACACGTGAAAAAGTAATCTAATTTCAGAAATTATATTTTCATTCGTTAGGATTAATAAATGCAACAAATGGTTCACACACTGTGAGTTAAAGACTGGTTGATAATATTTCCAGTATTTGAGTACAGCTTTAATGAAATATATGTTCGAACAATACCTTTGAAAAAGAATTACTCTTTAATATGATATGTGTCTCAATTACATATTTCTTTCTGATATATTTACATTATAAGTAGATTAATATTCTCTATATTTCAAACATCTATAAAATATTCAATTTTTTAATTTATGCTCTACTTTTAGAAATATGATTCATCTCATATTTATAACTTACAATTATGTTTCACAGCTTAGATTTATGAATGAAAATGAAGCTGTGAATGAACTTCGATGCAAAATAAATCAAATTGATTATTTGATTTTATCAGTCAAACACGCGATGATGTGCATGAGTTATAAGTTAGAACTTCAACTGTATACATTTTGTATTCGCACTTTTAGCTTTTGTACTAAAATTTTCAAAATTCAATAGCTAATATTTGTATAGACTACTTTTTTTGTTTTTATAAATAAATGATCAATCAATAAATTCTAAATAGGTCAGAACATCCTCATTAATAGTCTTTTCCAGCCAAGTAAGTACATTTTTATCCGGGCTTACTCAAGAAACTTATATTTAATTTTATTTCTAATATTGTACGAGCATTTTTGATATATTCATAGTTATATAAAATCAAAAATTATGGGTTTTGATTCAAAATTAATAACGATTTGATGATAATCGATTTTTTTATCGAACTTCCGAAGAGCCATTATTGAAGTTTATTAATTTTATATCAAAGATTTCTAGATTTTTTATTAATTTTTGTTGTTTTTACAAGCAATTAATTTAATGATGGATATTTTAAACAATTGATCTCATTTCCAAACTTACAATAATAAAAGAATTTAATAAACGCTGAAACGCTTCGCCATTATTTCGTCTTTATTGTAGTTTTAGAAAATTTTAGTATGGTTGTATGAAAAATGAACTTGTTTGTATTAGTTTGACCCAATTTCCCATAAATTCTTGACATCAACAACTATAGAGTGATTGATAGTTCAAACAAAAAACGTAGCACTTTTTTCAATGAATAAATCTGGACTAGATGCACTCTGAAGTAATAAAAATCTTGAGCGCAATTAACTGAGGTTTCAATTTTTTACGAATACAAAAGTTTTTTGATTTCGGTACGGTATATCATACTTTTTGCAGCGTTTTTATTATTATTTTGAGAGATAAGGCTATGCATGAGTACACTTTCAGCATATGAATATATTATTATTTAATGAATAATTTTCTGCAATGATTATGTAATTATTTATTTTAATTGATATACTCAAAAGCTTACTGCAAAAATAATCATCATGGAGACGCCGAAGCCAGTTGGGAAATGAACTTTGCTTAACACGTTTCTCATAATCTACATTGATTTTTTTCTCGAAAAATCTACTCAAAGGCCTTAACTTATGTTGATCTTCGCACGTATGCATTTTAGCGAAACAGTCGTAAACAATTATAGGAAATGTGTTTAACAACTTTAACTACATCTAGCTTCGGTATTCTCGTAACAACTTTATACATTAGTCATTGATATATTCACGCTTTTAAATTATCATTAACAATCCTATATAACTTTCGAAAGTCGATGTAAAATAGCGATGTTTTTGATTAATTTTTGTGTTGTTTTAGACCGGATCAGGTGCTGGCGCAAGAAGCTGCATACTAGATGATTTGGCTATCTACAAAATATTTTTAAAATTTCATGTATGCTTTGAAAATTTAAATGTATATTTCTATGAGTAGATTGAATCTCACTTGGTGTTTTGGTTGTTTATACGAATTTCTTGAGTAGACCTTCAAGACGCGGCAGTTACAGGCAACTGATAATGCAACAGCTAAACCCTGTCAAAACATAATGCATATCTCATTTTTTTGAGAAGTATGTAATAGGTAGGAAGGTAATGAAAAGTTTCGGTAAATAATTAGTTTTTTTATGAATTAAATTAATATATTCAATTATATTCATACATATCAGCCAAAAGTTCATCAAATTGACTTTTTATACATTTTTGTCTTAATATTTCGCTGTTTTTCAATTAATAAAAAATAATTTGAGTGACATATTAGAATAATGTTTTTAACTAACCTGTAATGAGTGACCTGTGCAAAAAATAGCCCACAAAAATGGGACTTTCCACACTCTTGATGCTACACCGCAGCCAGCCACAAGTCCAATGATCATACTAACTTTTAAAAATAACATAAGCTGCAATGTTCTTCGCCTTTTCATTTTTTCTCTTTGTTTAACCTCCAGTTGCATACTGCATGTATATCTAAAATATTTTTTAGGTGAAAATAAGGAAAGTTTATAAATTAATTTGATCTTGTATAATTCAAATCGAACTTCACTTACAGATAAGTTCGTTTTATTATAAAAAAATGTACGTATCGTAAAAGTAAAAGAATATTTTCTCACCTTGCTACAATCGCAGCTTTGAGTAAATAATAGCCTGAACTTAAAAGAAGAACTATCACGGGAATTCCAAATGCATAAACGGTAGCTTTAGCTCCTAAAAACCTGAAAAATATTACGCCATTTTTCTATGTTTCTTCAAAAAATAGCTTTCACTTAAAACAAAAAGTATTTGTAGTTGGAAAAATGCATTACCAACAATTGAATGGCATCAAGTCATTGACTTTCCATATATCATTTGTTTCTCGAATTTGAATAAGAATGGCAAAACCGAGTGTAATAAGTGGTGCGCCCCAAGCAAAAACACTGTATTTGAGATACGTTGGTGGATCATCACGGCTTGGAATAGCTGCTACAGTTGCATAGAGATGATGACACATTGCAGCCAGCCAACAGACAACTGATACTCTCAAGTACTGTAGACTCATGCCGAGTGATACACATAGCTCTGAGTCCTGAAAAAATGAATGGATGGTTTTCAGTATCATCTTTTTTTACATTGCAGCATTGACATTTATTTTAAATATTGATAGTAACATTTTTATATTTTGAAGTTATCTTATTCTCTGTACATATCTCCAATTTTATAACAATACGGGGGTCAATATTGTCTAAATAAATATTTTTTACCAATAAATATTTCAATTTCTATTCAATGATAATTAATAATTTTTTGTAGTAGAGAACTATAAATTATTTCCCATGGATTAATTTTTAAATTTTCATCTCAGATTTTAAAGTATAAGAAGAAGTAAAGAGTCTAAAAGCAATACATATAAGGATTTTCAACTATGCCACCGGCCGCTCGAACGTCAATGACATGCACGAATGAAGAGCCTGATGCCGCTCTCTATAGAGAGTCGGGTTCTTAATTTTGGATTGAATTATTCGGGATAGCGCGAACGCAGTCCCGGCTAACAAAAATTATACGCCCGAGATATCCACATTAGGGATATTCGCAAGGGTCAACCCAATCGTAGTGCAATGAAAGGGCCTCGCCCTGGAGGAACCGCCTTGTTGATCACGGTAACCTCTGCGCCAGGTAAGTATGCTTTAGCACTCGCCGCGTGTCTACTTAAACATTTTCGTCCACGACTCTCTTGCGCGAACTAAACTTCTCATACGAGTCTCTGGGCACATTTTGGGCTTACGCCATCTATTGAATCATTTCCGAACTATGACTGGTGATGTAGCCTATATCACGCGTAGCGTGTGTAGCATAATACCGTTTTATTTCAGATTGCATTGTTACGCTTGTTACTGTATTAACACGCGTTACAACATTAATTATTTAATATTGAAAAGCACTAATAAAATATTTAAATGATCAAATATTATTTAAAAACCGAAGAAAATATAATAAATTGTTTAAATCAAAACCAATATTGGTTTGAACTAACAAATCAAACTAGTCGACTTGAGCTTAAAGCCGCATATTTTCTATCATTAATTTTATTTGACTATAATCTATTTTATATTAATTAGTTTATTTAACCATACTTGATTTACAAGTATACATTGTGGGCATTTTTGTAGTTTAGTTTCAGCTCCACGTGTCACTATTTTTTTATAGAAAATTTTACATTAATTTTATAAATAATTTTTTTCCCACTCTAACCTAAAATACGCAACTTTGCCGCTAATTTTAGGCTCTCGTAGGAAAAAATAGTATCTCAAACTGGTGCGGATCTGGTTTTTTAACAAAACTCGTTACAGCACTCGCCTTCGGCTCGTGCTATAATCCCTCGTTTTGCTAAAAAACCATATGTGCACCCGTTGAGAAATATACTATTACATCGCTTTTATACACGTTCTGCTAAGTAATAAAAATCTGTTTTTTAGATGGTAATAAACATTTTTCATTTATGCTTTTATTTGTAAAGAAGTTATATACCGAAAAAATGAGAATATAGGCCAAGTGACTGAATATTCAAAATACGTATTATTTTGAGCGTCATGCCAAATTGACATGCGAGAGGTGAACGGAAAAGTCAAGTACTGTATGTCATTGTACACAGTAAACACACACATACCGCAGGTAAGCGACAGAATCGCTACATATGTAATAGTATAGCTGTATCATCCAAGCAAAAGGTCTGTTCATGACATGTGCTATGAATCGCTGCTGTAGTTGTAACGATTATAGCTCGTATAGCGTTCAGAGACATGATAATATTGTTCGACACGGTTATTGAAATGCGCAAGCTCAACATATATCAAATGTATATCAACAAAATCGAGATCAAAAAGCCAAATGGTACAGAATAATTTATTGTTTAGAAGTCTCATGAAGTGTAGCAAAAATAAGTTTGAATTTGTATTGCAATACATAATATTTCTTTGTTACCATTTAAGTTGAAAAATTACGAAAAATAATTTAAAGATAATACCTTAACTTTTCAGCAATTTTACCTCTTCATTTCAGACTTATGTATATAATATTTTTTCAGAATTTTATAAAAATGTACGCGATTAATCTTTATTTTTTCTCGTATTCTAATAGATGAGTATTGAAAATTATTGATGCGGAATAATTATTATGCATATTATATTTTATTGAATAATATGGTAAAATATTTTTCCACTCTCTTTGTTGGTTCAAGAGAGTTCAGAGTGAACTCGAGGAACTGATGCCATAATATGGAATAAAGGAAAAGACGGATATTTTTTGAAAATGCTTCAAAGTCAATACCAAGTACCAGTTGGTTGACCTTTTACTACCTCTCATATTGGGATCTATGGCTTTCTTTGTCGTAAAGTTTTTCATAAAAGTGAGCTCTGCGAATGGTCTGCGTTTAACAGTGACCCAATATAACTATAAATTGCAAATCATAGATTTCAAGGGTTCTTTTACCGATGCTAAAAGGTTTCGATCTACACGAGTTTTTTCTAATTTCCGGATACATCCAGGCACAGGATAAAAGATGGAAGAAAAGAAAGAAGCGATACGTTTTTAAATCTTTCCAAATAAAATTATTCATCGATAAACCAATGTTTCATCGGATTTTTTTTTAAATTGACATAACATCTTTTCTTTTTCTTAGTAACATTTGAAGTTTGTTAGAAATGCTGATCTCAGCAATCCAATTTCTACTTTTTCGAAATTGGCGTTGCGGATTTTTACAGTGCACGTCGCAGCTCTGATTACCTATCGGATTTAAAGTCCCCTTTACCTTAATTAACTTGGGGTTTTTTTATGTATTAGTCTTGACCCCTGTGATACTCTTGCGATGTTTATTGCCTTTTTCGTAATGCTTTCCAAAGAACCGTATGATATTTATTCATCGTTTTTTCCTTTTTTAACTTAGGAGACGCTTATAAGATGTGATATACGCGAAACGATTGAAAATTATAGTTTACGCGAAAATCCGGTTTCTTTTGTTCCACGAATTAGATGAAATTTCAGCAATGGTAAAGTTCGCTTTTATTAATCATAATTTTCTTCTTTTCAGATCGTGCTTAATTTTGTATTCATAAATGCAAAAAATGTTGAATGTACTTTTTATTCATCCTCATTCTTTTTGCGCACAAATTCATGCAGAACAAATAGAAGTATATATACGCAGAATGTATATACAGTGGAGGCCGTTTATAACGAGGTCGGATATAGCGAGATACCGGCTATAACGAGCAGATTTTGGACATTTGGTTGGTTCCAATGCATTAGGTATAGGAAATTGTATCTATATAACGAGATCGATATAACGAGAAGTCGGGTATAACGAGCAAAATTTAGGAAAAATTTTGTGAAAAATTGACGTTTATAACGAGAAATTGCGTGTTTACACTCGTAGCTAGATACTCGTACGCAAACTCAATAACACAGAATTATGTACACAAAGCTTACTTTAAGCAAGTTAATGATCAGTTTTTCAGTTGCTTTCGCAAGGAAAACGTATTTCTGGTACTTTTTTTTTACAATTTGAAAATGGCAGATTTTAATCCAAAAAAAAAGGAAAATATTATCAGTAAACGATAAGTACTCTATCATTCAAGATTTGCAAAACGGAAAATCTCATACCGACGTTTGCATTGCGTGAGAGTATAATAAAATCTTTCGAAGAATGCCGCGGGTCCGTTAAAAAAAGACGTGTTTGTAAGAATCCAGATGTTGATGCAGCCCTTTATAAATGGTTTGTTATGAAAAGAAGTCAAAATTTGCCCATCAATGGACCAATTTTACAATCCCCTATATTATAATTATTATTTGTAACCTGATTATTATATTATTATTATTTGTAACAATGTAAAAAAATAATCAATATATATAATAATCTCATCTTATTCGATGAATAAATGAAACTGGTAAATACCAAAAAAAATATTGTAATTACTGCTCATGTCGGTTATAACGAGGACCGGATATAACGAGAACTTTTCGATGGTCCCGTGAATCTCGTTATAACCGGCCTCCACTGTATATCTTGTATTTACTTATGCATACTCGTACATATACATCTGTACAGAGCGCACAAACTGGCCGAACATGAAGCACTCGAACTGCGTAGCTTTCATACAGTTGCATGAGTTAATGTTTTTTTATATTTATCTATGGGTTGTACAGAAGAGCAGATATACATTCATTTCATTGTCCGTACAATTCAAATTTATCAGCAATCGGAAGAACAAAACTCAATCTATTAATTATAAAACAATTGAATTAAGATATTCATATTGTGTTTGAATTATTAAGTAAAAAATAATTAAAGATTTAATTCATCGTGTGAACGAAAAATTGATTTTTTCAAACGAACGATTCAAATTAATATGACTTTTATGAGGTATGCGTTTTTTCCCCTGTAACAATTGAACAAAGTTTCTCGCGTTGCCCAAGGCATCGAGCGGAGGTTGGATCGAGCAAATACTTCAGCATTCAATAAGTTTTATACGTCACCAAGCCGATATCGCATTTGATGTTTCCCGCAGCAATCGATTGGACGAAGCGTCATGGCTCTTGAATTTTTCGGTGCGTAATAATCTTTTTTAGTAATTTTTTAATAAGTCTCTTTTAAATTGCTGCAACCGATCGAGTATAAATTGGAATAATTTTACACATATCGTCAAAAATATCGATGTAAAATCCATTACCAATTAGATTACGGTATTTTCGATAACGAGAATAAAGTACGCTATCTATTGGCTTCTGATTCTCGGCACGATAATTACGTACGTCACGATGCGATAGCCGATGGGGCCTTAAGTATGTGCGCAATTTAAATTCTACTGGTCACACATACGCACTCTCACACATACACATTGTCAATGCTGTTGTTGTTTGACGTCGCAGCAAGTGTGTATGCATGCGTGCACAGCACGGGAGCCAATTTTGGGCTGCGCTGAAACACACCGCGTGCCAATCTGACCGCAAAGCGGTTTATGTACACCAGCGCCTGTAGCTGCATTATATGTGTGCGCTTTTACTGCGTGCGCGCGTATTATAAACCCTTATACGGACCCTTATAGCGATATATATATGTACGAGTGCGACGTTACGAGCGTCGCGCAATCAAACTTGTAATTGGTCTCGCACTGAGGCTTTATAGGCTGTACTCGGCGCGACGATGGCTAAAATGTAAACGCGAAACCGTAAGATTTACATATTTTTTTTTGTTCATGCTCCGTAAAATAGACATCGAGGTACAGCTTGATGTTGCCTTCGCCGACTGTTTTTAAACGTCTACTTGTTTTTTTTTTGTGAAATTTTAAGTCTCATTTAATAGGTTCTAGCTATATCAAGTTGCGCGTTTGAAATTTCGTTCTTTTTAGTTTGCATAGAGTTAGATTGTTCAAAAAGATTATCCATGGATATCCTTGATTACTGCAACTGCTATAAACCAAAGCACTTTATCGGTGGGCTGTTACAGTTTAGAATAAATTTTGTTTCCTTATCTAAGGAGTCTACATTACGTATTTGCATATGATGAAGATTTAATTCCCATAAATATTCTAGCAATAACTTATTTTCTTTGTATAAATAAACTCAATCTTTCAATTACATTTATAATTTAACACTTTGAAATTATTTAATTTAAAATAATAAAATAATAATAAAAATACATCCACTATAATTAGTTAAATATTTTTGGAACATACTCTGGATTCCGTTTCACGTATAAAATATGAAATGTGCAACGTGCATATTTGCAATTGGCAGGGCGTAAACGAAATAGGCGGTCATAAAATCTTTGGGCGCTCTGTAGTACGCTAAAATAACTCCAAAACTTCCCAAAATTAACTGACGCTATTCGGAAAATGTTGATAAATCTTTTTGCGAATATCCGCCACGATTATATCATCAGTCACGCGAGCTTTCATTAATACAAATGCAATGGAGGGTGCAACGACATTGACGGATTCAAACGATTTCGTGGCGTTCGCGCGCTCGCCCCAACGCGGAATACATATAAGAGAGCATTATAGCCTCGTGTACACGTATAGCGTCATCGTTTATCTTACGTGTTGCTGTTGGTGTTGTTAGATGCTGCTCGCGCAGCAACAGCGTCCGGGGGATGTGCACGCGCAGCAGTGCATGTACTACAATGACCATGGGAGAGCACACAAAGTCTGGATATTACATTCCTTGTTGCTCGCCAGGAATGCCATTTGCATGCTCTGCTCTACTGGCAAACTAGGTGTGTATTTATTTAGGCAGCAGCAGCACCAGTATAGTATATTAAAGCACGCGCATATAGCGCACAAGACGCTAAATTCATCAAAAGAAGCAGCTCCGTTTAGAGGCGAAGAGTAGAGCATTATCAAGGCTGCGAAATTTCTGTAATTATCGTGTTTTCTGCGTGCTTAATATATGAAGTGGAATCAAGCGATGAGTATTATGAAAATTACCTTACATCATCGTTTTTCGGAAAATTTGTCTTAAAATTTAAATTCAATGAAAGCAAAAAATCCAACAGCAGAAAATGTTTCATGATCTCGGCCTATCATTCAAAAATTCGTATTATATAAAATTGAAACTTTTCGTTGCTCCAACTCCATCTGAAATATCTTCTCTTTCATAGATCTTTCATTTTCACGCATACAGGTGCTTCTTTCCCCGATATTTTCCGCACTACCTTATAACACGGGAGTAGATGAAATCTATTATACGTATTTAACAGCCTTGTAAAGTTCTCTCTATTGAGCAGCTTATACTTGCTACAAGCCGTTAATTAAACGCGCTACAGTGTCGTGAACAAGCAATAAAGCTTAAATTGATACAGTTCATTCGCAATTGAATTATTTCCTTCCCATATTAATGTTGAATAAAATTCCCTTGATACATAAATAAAGCGGCGCGGCTCGATGTCGAAGTGTAAAACGAGCACTCCGAGTTTCGGAGGGATAACGTTTCATAATATACGGCTTGTATTGTTATTTTCCATGTTTCAGATAAGTATTGTGTTAGAGTGTGTATCTTACCTGAACGCCTCCAACTCCGACGATAAATAAGAGTTGCACCATGAAAAGTGCTGCGAGCAAATTCATTAACGTAGTTCCGGCTAAACTTCGCAGATCTGAAAAGAGACTGCAACAAAGAAGATTTTTTTTTGTAAAAGATGGTAATACAGTTAAGAGTATATAATTTCTACAGTTATATTTTTGAAATGAATTCTTAAGTACTACAGAAAAAGGAATGGATTTGTTTCTTTGAAAAGTTAACACTTTGCAACTTCAATAAATTGTATGAGACGTAAAGCAATTAATATTTTTAATTATAATTCAAGAAAATGCTGCGTCAAGTATAATGAGTAATTTCAATCACACGGTATTATAATCCTCTTTACTAAGGACATTGAAAAATATTAAAATCGTCAATATTAAAAAATTGTTAAAAGCAGGCGTGATATTAATGTGGAATGAGAAAAAAACGAAATGATTCGCAAATCTAGAAGGAGGGGAATGGCAACAGTAGCATAGAAATCAAAGAGAATTAAACTCGTATTTCTCGCTTGAACCGCTTTATTTTTATCACAGCTAGCAGCCATTCAAAATAATGGAAAAAACTCTCACTTCTCGTTTAATAATATCAGTCTCGGAAATAAAGATGGCATTACTATTTCTTTATTAAAATTCTTTTAAAGTTTTACGGCGCATCATATTACATAAAAAAATAAATTCTGTAAATCTAATAGAAAAAGACGAACTCAAATCAGTCGTGGGTTCTTGTCAAAGTCCATGTATATCAGTGATTTGCCACCCTGAATTTTTAACAGCATTTATCGTATCGAAAGCATTACTTTATAATAGTACAGTTATTTATTTTATATCAAATTACTCTACTTTTTTCGTGGCACCTACAATTTTTTAATTTTCATATTTGAGCCCTTTTTTTTCGTGAAAATTATTTTTCGACTGTATTTATGAATACCACACGGGCCAGGCAAGTGAAGTATAATAGCGTATATTCATTCAGCTCCTACAGCTTCTGACGCAAATTGAATTGGATGAAATTCGATTAGTCTGTCTCACGCTCGTGCGCGTACTTGAGCTTTGAGCTTCGCAATTCTCATGGCTGTATGTATTTCGTATTATTATACAGCCTGCGTAGGTAGTTCGGCGTATAAAGCATTTATACGTCGGTGTCAAATAAGTACTTATTATTAATGAAATGGAGTAGTGCCTTTATAACATCAATGGTATCCTTTCATATTTCCGCTGTGTTCGTTATATTCATCGCCAGTCTTACCTAGAGAACTTTGTGACACGCTGCTCTGCCGCGCTCGCCCTAATATTCCATTGAAATTGCATTTATAATTACATTACTCGAGCTTTTAATTATATCCCTGAATACTTTTTTATTCCTTGTGAATAATAAATGCAATTTTAAAATTAAAAATAATTCCATTATGAAAAACAAAAAAATCAAAGATTGAATGGTTCAAAAAAGTGTTGCCGATCTCCGTTGAATTTTTCAACTTTGTATTTGTCGAATCATTTGAAATGCCGAAAGTTTAATCATTTTCACGGATTCCCCTGTGTGATTTCCCTTCAAAGTTTTCTCTCGTTGCCGCGTAAGCCACGTAAGATAATACGTTTAATTGTTTTCTGCTTGCACACTTGAGTGGGCCTTAACTCCGTAATAATGACCTCGTAATAACTGGTTCCTTCCAAGTTTCGCGTGCATATACGTTTATGGAATTTTACACTTTATTACAACGCTTGTAATTCTCGAGGGCATCGGCGAGAGAACTGCAATTATGTTTGTTTCTGCAAGTTTCTGTTTGGAACTCCATAACTTCTTATCACTCCAATTTTCATAGTTAAATCTATAATGTTTTTAATGGAATTAACCAATCAAAAGTTCATGCCTTAAATCACGATCGAGTCCATTAGTTTTAAAAATTTTATTTTACCCACAAAAGGCACTATCGAAAATCTTTATTAGACTTTAATACCGAAACATAAAATGTAAGAAAGTTAAATTTTCTCACGTGTTCGAAATCTTGACGTTTTATCTAAATCTCACAAAGATGGCTCATATACTGTAAAAAAATGTAGGAAATTTGTCATTTAGAAAAACATTTTTGATTAAATTTTAGTAAAAAAAGTACTGCGTTTATAGTAGTATTATAAAGCTACGACACTTTTGATAAATAGCAAGAGCATTACCCACTCTACATTCTCTAAGAAGTATAGATTTTTCTCCTCATGGTCTCGCGCGCACCCCAGGATTACTACTTCATCGTTCACGCGTCATATATCATATGAAACGTTGAATATCGGTAAGCTATATTTTTTTTTACTCGGCTTTAATTGATAATATTCGAGTTCTCGTGAGTTAACCTTTCACGCGTGCATTACTATAGCTAACAATGATTCATAAAATTTCATAAAGTTATTTTATTGTAAAGCTACAAAATTTGAAAGCAAAAGTAGTTTGAAACTATAAAATCCTCAAAATTGAAGTTGATTCAAATTAAATAAGTAGAAATTCATTGAACATTCATTGATGAAAAACAAATGGAAAAAATTGATTTTATTGACGCATAAAATGTTACATTTAGTATATTGCATTTATGTATAACAAATACGCTTTATATTAAATATCTATGAAATCAGGTTATTTTATAAAATATCAATTGCATTTTATCATGATCAAGAAACGATCAAGTTTAAATAAATAATCGTATAAAATTAAAATGTCTCTTCCAGCTCAGCGTAGAAACTGGCTAGAGGCGCATTCAAATCGTTATTCTTTCGCCAGACTTGGTATACAAGGATTTGTTCTATTAATTGCTAATTCTAAAATAAATGTACTTTTTATTCATTCGTAGCTCCATCAATTTTTAAACTTTCCTCAATTGTAACCTTTAACTGTATAAGACTTTAGAGACAAAAAAATCACGATATCCCGTATAGAGTCTTATGTATTGTATTTATATCTTTCTTATTTACATGGTCAAAACTTTGATTTTGATAAGATACCAGGATAATAATTATAGAATGTGAGATTCTCTTATTTCAAATGATATATTGTATGGGTATCAATAGAAAAATCGAAACTAATGGTTTACATTTATTTATTTGAATGATATTGGTAACCCGTCGCATTTAACAACAATTGACATAAAAAATACAGTGAATATGTTAATCTCCATTATGAGTTTTGTCCTGCAGCGGCCAAGCAAATATTACATAAATCATTATTCGTCAGCTGCTCGATGATCATGTCACAGTAGAGAATCGGCAGACGGTAGTGTATTAGTTCCATGAAAGGATCCAGTGCTCAGCGCCGAAAAAATTTCCTAGATAATTTTTCGCATAGGTGTAAAATCCAAGCTTCTTCAAGACTTGCATCTACAGGAAGCATACCCCATGGTATCGAGTTAGCAAACTCAAAACAGTTCATATATGTGAGTAGTTTCGCCGCCTTTTTTGGGTCGTAACCGAATCAAACCGTAGAGAGACAGACTCGGAATTATCATTATTTTTTTCGCACTTCTTGCAAACTCCACGACATCATACCAACATTCGTGAAAATGCACTGACTTTTCCAACCGAATTCAGCGAAAAATGTCATGATCGTGAGGGTGTCGCTTCAGTCCAGCTCGTATCCTTTTCTTACAAGACGTTCAACGGCAAGAAGACCATATTATGATTTCGTCACCAAAATAACTCGCAGTGGGAAAAACGAAGCTTGACATATCAGCACCATGATCCAAGAGTACATCAAAAGTATCGAGCAAAAGATTCGCCACGGCTAATTGCAGTGGTGTTCGGCCTTGATTGTCCCGTGAGTCGACCTGCACCGTCTGCTGTATCCCGTCGATGATATTGAAAAATGGCTCCGCACTGTAATTTTCTTCGTCTCTCTTGCATAGCATATGCAAAGGTATAAGTCCCTTGGCATTCGTCGAATTCTGAGCACACCATTTTTCAGCAGCAATTTGGCCACATATTTTTTGTCGTGGTTTAGCGGTCAAATGTAGCGGTGGATGAACCAATTCTCACGCGAGTAGATTAGGATCCTGCCCGAGCTCGAGAAATTTCTCGACGACGTCGTAGCAGCCATACTCACAGACCACATGGAAATGTGTCAAGCCCAACTCGTTGATGTAATTCACGTCGCACCTATCATATATTTTAAAAAGCTCACCGATCAAGGTATCCCAGAAACGACCACTGCACTGCAGTCCTGCTGCATGAAGAACTGGTGTATTGCGAGGTTTATTTATTTATATTTTTCATGGTTTTTATATTTTGAAATCGAATGAACCGTGTAACGCCGAACTGCAAAAAACATTTTATTTCTCTCGTGATTCCGAATTTCTTTTTGCATGGTGTTTATTCTTTCAATGTGCTGGGCTTCGCTACATGCAGCTTCCAACTGGTTGCATTTGCAATGTAATTTTTGGTTTTAAACCTAATCTAAATGTCGTGCTTCCAAGAAATCGGCCTTGTTATCCGAAGACAGCAGACCCATATAGTCTAAGTGCAAGTGTCGCAATCTCAGAGTCTTACGAATATCTAAGTCCACTTAAAAGTTTATTCAGAAGTACTATAGTCATTATTCCAAGTTGAGGTCTAAATAGATTTTGGGAATTAAACTCTTTTCTACGCGAGGTGCTCAATTGATTCCAGCTCATCCTCTGAAAATCGTTGATTCGACATCGTCTGGGGCCAGCGTACGAGAGGGGCATCATTGACCCAAGAGGAAGCCAGACTTGTAGGGTGGTGGGCGTTCAAAGTTGAGTTGAATAAATTTATGTAAGTCATTTTAAAATTACAAAAACAATTGTCCACGTGCCGGCCTGCAATTGTAGTTGATATTATTTTGGTTTTTACTGTCCCAATAAGCTAAGCAATTAATTACGGCGTTTCCCGGCTATTTTATCCGGCTGTTTTATCAAGTAAACTCGAATTCGAATGAAAGGCTTGAATACTTGACACAAAGAAGTATAAAAGCGTGTCAATCAAATAATAGAAAATCTTTCACTTTTGAGAATTAATGATCAACTCATATGTGACGTCCAACACAGCTAGCTACGTCATTTCTCCTTCTTTCAAGCGCCAATGCGTAAGACG